ATCCTTCTAGTATTTATAGACTTCCTCAACCAGTAACCCAATCACAGCCCATATACTTTGGGTTGGTGTGGACTTCTCGTTTGGATCTTCTAGGCCCAATGATACTAGAGTTATGGGTAGTGCTCTGTATTGATGCAGTAACATTCCTCCCTCCTTGAGTTTCAGCCTGTCCCCAGGCTGGTGCAGCTGGAAACTTAGCTTGCATTTCATCTAAACTCTCCCAGGTGTCAGCAGAAGAAGACACACCGGACCAACGAATTAAAACTTGCTTGATCATCTTGGAACCTCGACGAATCGAACAATGATCCAGAATTTTGATTGGAATTGCCAAATGACCAGCATCAGGATTTAACACAGGCAAAGAAGGCTGAACTGCTTCAGATGGTGCGAGAGCCTTCTTGAGCTGAGACACATGGACAACAGGGTGTATCAAGCTGTGAGCAGGCAATTGTAACCTGTAAGCCACCGATCCAATTCGTTGTAAGACTTGAAATGGACCATAATATTTGAAGGATAACTTCCTGTTAGAGCGAGTCATAAATGATTGTTGAATATATGGTTGTAATTTCATGAACACCCAATCACCAACCACAAAACAACGCTCAGATCGCTTCAAATCAGCTTGGCTCTTCATCCGTTGCTGAGCTCGCAACAAATGATGATGAATCAAAGTATTCATGTCATTTCGCTCACTTAACCAAGTTGCAAGATCTCCAGGAGCATCAACAGAGGAGGTGGATAATCCAAAGTAACGAGGTTTGTGTCCAAATAATACTTCAAAAGGAGTCATACCCAAGGCTGAATGAAATGACGTATTGTACCAATATTGAGCCAAGGCCAGCCAATGCTTCCACCGAGAAGGACAAGAATGAACAAAGCAGCGCAAAAACATTTCCACACATTGATTCACACGCTCAGTTTGTCCATCCGATTGTGGGTGATACGACGAACTCATTCGGAGTTGAGTACCAGCTCGGCGAAACAATTCCTTCCAAAGAGAACTAGTGAACACTCGATCACGGTCAGATACAATAGCTTGAGGTAAACCATGTATACTGTGTATGTGTTCCATGAAAAGCTGAGCCACTCCAAAGGCAGTAAAGGGGTGTTTCAGGGGTAAAAAATGAGCAAACTTAGAGAATTTATCCACAATAACCAGTATACAGTCAAATGAAGCTGATTTGGGTAAACCTTCAATAAAATCCATAGTAATTACTTGCCATGACTGAGAAGGTACCTCCAATGGCTGCAATAACCCTGGGTATTTAACATGTTCAGATTTAGCTCTTTGACAAATATCACAATGTTGAACAAACTCCTGAACATCTTTGCGCATGCCTGGCCAAGAGAACAACTGCTTAACTCTTTGATAAGTAACCAAAATTCCTGAATGACCCCCCACTGCTGCAGTATGTAAATTGGCCAGAATCTTTTGTTGCAAAAGTTTATTATGACCAATCCAGATTCTATGTTTAAAATACAAAATGCCATTCTGCACTTCAAAGTTAGATGGACCTGCACCTGACACAGATAAAGCTTGAAGTAATTTCTGAGCCTCCGAGTCAGATTGATAACCATCAATTAGCTCCTGTAGCCAGTCCGGCAAACATATAGAAATGGCAGACACTTCCTCCAAACCATCAGATTGTCGACGAGATAATGCATCAGCAGCCCCATTCTCCAATCCTTTCTTATAACAGATTTTATACCTCAGACCTAAAAGTTTAGTCAAAGCTTTTTGTTGCCAAGGGGTCGACAATCTCTGATTTGTTAGAAAAGATAGACTGCGATGATCCGTTCTAATCACAAACTCGTCATGTTGCAAATAAGAACGCCAATGATCAATTGCTAACATGATTGCAAGACTCTCCTTTTCATAGGTAGACAAGCCTTGAGTGCGAGGTCCAAGTGCTTTACTGAGAAATGCAATGGGATGACCATTTTGCATAAGAACAGCTCCAATCCCTTTGTCCGATGCATCCGTTTCAACAACAAAAGGTTGCTGAAAATTAGGTAAAGCCAATACAGGAGCTTCAATCAAAGCAGTCTTGAGGGCTACAAAAGCCTCCTGAGTAACAGAAGTCCATTGAAACAATACCCCTTTTCGTAGCAAATTGGTTAATGGTTTACAAATAACACCATAATTTCTGACAAACTTGCGATAGTAACCAAGTTAATCCCAAAAAACTACGCAAGTCTTTGACAGAAAGAGGAGTGGGCCAATCCTTGACAGCAATAATTTTCTCCTCATCAGTAGCTACCCCCTGAGCACTAATAATGTGACCCAAATAAGCCAAACTTTGTTGAGCAAAAGAACATTTGGAGAGTTTAACCTTCAATTGGTGATGTGTCAAGGTGCTTAAAACTTGTCTCAGATGATTCTTATGCTCTTCCAAAGAACGGCTGTAAACTAAGATGTCATCAACAAAGACCAAGACAGACTGACGCAATTGAGCTGCTAAAACAGAATTCATAACACCCTGAAAAGTGGCTGGAGCACTGGTAAGACCAAAAGGAAGAACTCTGAACTCAAAATGGCCATTGTGGGTCTTAAATGCAGTCTTATGTTCATCCTGAGGAGCCATGCGAATCTGATGATATCCCGAGCGCAAATCTAACTTAGAAAACCAACAAGCACCCGCCAATTCGTCCAATAATTCATCAATAACAGGTAAAGGGTATTTATTCTTGATGGTTATGGCATTGAGATGTCGGTAATCCACACAAAAACGCCATGTGCCATCTTTTTTCTTAACCAACAACACAGGAGAAGAAAAAGGGCTGGAACTAGGACGAATGATACCTTTTTTCAACATTTCCTGAACTTGTTTTTCAATTTCATTCTTCTGATCAGGTGTATAACGATATGGACGAATGTTGACTGGTTGTGCTCCAGCAATCAAAGGAATAGTGTGATCATAAGATCGAGAAGGTGGCAACCCGTCTGGTTCATTAAAAATGTCAGCAAATTCATCCAAAATGGACTGAATTGAACTTGGAACATTTTGAGAAGAACTAGAGCCGTCACTGGCAGTGAGCTGAACCAAGGACTCCACAGCTCCTTGATTGTGCAACAGCTGTAACTGATGAATAGAGACCAGATCACATTTATCCAATTCAGGTACCACTCCTTTAAGTTCCACTGACTTATCATGAAGACCAAACTGAATTGTTTTGGCCTGCCAATTGATATCCATTGGACTATATTTCTCTAACCAGTCCATACCCAAGATCATATCATAATTGTCCAAAGGAAGCAGTTTGAAATCAGTAGAGAACTGATGCCCTTGAACCTCCCATTTTGCAGCCGGCAACTCAGAGGTACAAGAAAGAACAGCACCATTGGCTACCTTTACTTGAACCGGAGTAAGTAAAGATTTCACACCAGTAAGATGAGGTAAAACCACTGAACTGAGAAAACTGCAAGAGCTGCCTGAATCCACCAAAATTAACACATCAAAGCCTTGAATGGACCCTTGTAATCGCAAAGTATGTGCAGAAACCGTGCCTTGAATGGCCTGTAAAGAAATAGCCATCAGACTAGAGGTAGAATCAGCATCCTGTTCACCCTCAGAAACATCAGCTGCCAAAACACTGAAGAGTTCTTGAACAGCATGTAACTGTACTGATCCTGAACACTTGTGAGTAGGAGACCATTTTTCAGCACAAACATAGCAAAGACCTTGAGCTCGTCGATAGGCCTTGAGAGCAACCAATTTATCAGAAGAATTGGCCACTTTAGGAACTTCAGCTGTTCTTTTATCATCTCCCTTGCCAGCATGCACAAATTTGGGTGGTGGTAAAGGTAAAGGGTAAGCACTTTTAATTCGAGCAGCGTGATCACCCAATTTCTTCCCATCCTTGGACACCAAAGATGGGAAGAAATTAACAGTGCTCAAGGTTGGATCATAAACTAACAACTGACTCCACAAATCATCAAAACGCTCATAATACTCATTCACCGACCCTAACTGCTTGAGTTGATCAATCTGACGAACAAGCTGAAGGTGTCTATTCCTATCAAACTTCCTATCCACCGTATCACAAAAAACTCCCCAATTCCCACAAAGCAAATGAGCTCGCGAAGAACGTAACCAAGATGCAGCTCGACCAATGAAATAAATGGTAGCTACTCTAACCCATAAATCTGGATGAGTGCCATAAACCCCAAAATAATGTTCACATCTTAAACGCCAATTCTGAGGATCACTGCCATCAAATTGGGGAAAATCCAATTTTGGCAATCTGTGATTGTACCCACGCCCCTCTGATCCCCCACTCTCCTCGCGACCAACAAACTCCGAAAAATTTGGATGAACACGAGGAGAAAATGGTAGAGAGTGCGTACCCTTGCCCGGAGGTGGGACGAGAGTAGTGACTACCCCCGATGCCCTCCCCCGGAACTGAGTTGAAATGCGGTGGCCATCCAGACCAATTTCGCCAGTCGAGGCTGGCATAGACGCGGTTGGCGGCGTCGGCAACAGAGGTGCGCGACGAGCAATTTCCTCCCGCTCCTCCAACGCCTGCGATACTGGCAGAGACATGGTTGGCGACGTCGGCAACTGAGATGTGCGACGAGCAATTTCCTCCCGCTCCTCCAACGCCTGCGAGGTGTTCGACGATTTGTCAGCTTCCGCTTGATGTCGCTCCACCGCACCGACTTGATTTCTCTGCAACTCCATGTCGCGCTGCAAGCTCTGCACCGCAGCATCAACCTGAGGTCGCCAACTTGAAATGGATTTCTCCATTTTGTTCATCGTCTCCTGCACCTCGCCTTGCTTCACCGACATGGCGCCGATCGCCTCCTGAATACTGGACAGCATCTTCCTGAAGCCTTCGTGCTGCTTCTCCATGGCGTCCACTTGACCTTGCAAACGCGTCTTGAATGTCGGCCGCTCCAGGATCGTGCTCTGATACCAAGATGTTACGAACCCTAGATCGAATCACAGATGAAATTGGGGATGAGAAGGAAGAACAGAACAGAACAGAGCATTTCAGAGTAGAGGAAAAAGGAAGCAGAGTTAGGAGGAGGAATGATTTTCTTCAGATAGAAGTTTTGATTCAATTACAACGCACGCCTCTAGAAGATCCTTCTAGTATTTATAGACTTCCTCAACCAGTAACCCAATCACAGCCCATATACTTTGGGTTGGTGTGGACTTCTCGTTTGGATCTTCTAGGCCCAATGATACTAGAGTTATGGGTAGTGCTCTGTATTGATGCAGTAACAGTGACAGTGGAGCTCTGCTCGAGCCCGGATTGCGGTGTGAGCGGTTGCTCTGGGCTTACGGCAGGCGGCCATAATGTGACCTGTACTTGGTCGCTGGAGTGCGCTGCCTGAGGCTGATCAGCGCAGGTGTGCTCACCAAAGTATGTGACGTCGAAGAGCAAGCCGTCGTCGTGGCGCTGCACTTGCTTGGACGCCTGGCAGCCCTTGGTGGCACACCTGTAGTAACCCCTGTGCGCAAGTGTTCGATGGATGGATGGATTTATATTAGCCAGTTTAAATCTCGATCATGCACATGCAATCAGTACGTTTCAGAGATGCTGCAGTGAGTCGATCGATCGACCGTCGTATAGTAAGCCACTGACCTTAGGTAACTGAAGCCGAGGACGTTCTTCTGCCCGTACTTCCTCCAGCTGTAGCCGTCATCCGCCGGCACGGAGGTCACCCTCACTTGCCTTTTCCTCTTCGTTCTCTTTACCTTCTTGTCTCGCGTTCGCGTTAATCTGATCTGTTCGTCGACATTGGACTCCGCGGTCTGAGTGCAAGTGTGCTCACCGTGGTATACGATGTCGAACATGAGGGGGTCACCGTCGTCGCGCTGCACCTCCTTGGTCGCCATGCATCCCTTCTTCGTGTTCCAGTGTGTGCACCGGAAATAAGCTCTGCAATTAAGTGTTAAGACTATAAGCGTACACACATATACTACTACTTCCGCCTTATTAAAATATTGCTACCTAGTATGACCAGCTGCTGTGTGTACTAGGTTTTTTTTTATTGAAAAAAAGGAATACATGATTAAAAAATTTATTCTCTAGAAAGTATCCAATCATGTACTAGGTAATAATATTTTAAAACAGAGATAGTAGTAGTGTTTTCTCTATCCCAAAATGTTGCAACCAATGATAAGATTTAAGGGATTTATTCACCTTAGAGCAACCTTTGTTGTTTTAGGATTGGCAAATCCTATTTTAGGTTAGTAATATTTTAGGACGGAAAAAATTGTACATGTATACACAGCTGCGAGTATGTGCCAGTAAAAGTTTTAGGTGCCGTCATTGTTACCCACCCCACCCACTGACCTTGGGAACTTGGCGCCGAGGATCTCCTTCTGCTCGTACTTACTCCAGCTGAGGCCGTCATCCTCCGTATTACTCCTCACATGCCACATTTCCATAGGTAGCTTCTCCCTGTTAGAAGCAAGCCGGAAATTTTCAGACACTCGTGTCGTTGAAGTTTACGAGTAATGTCACAAACAATTACAGATAGTATATATAGCTTAAAAAAGAAAAACAGCATCAAACATGTGCGTGCATGGTAGACTTGAAATCAATTTTATAACACTTTTTAAGTGAGATCGTAAAAGCATACCTCAATCATATTTGCACATAGTTAAATATTATAAATATACACCATATGCATACGGTATATTCATATAACCATATGCCACAGAGGCGTCATTTATATAACCATGTAAAGTTCACAAATATCAAAAGAAAGAGCACAAAAGGACACCTATATTTAATGATTCAATGCTAAAAATAATTAAAATTTAGCCACCCGCAATCGTATTACTAGCTAATCTATTATAATTGAATTCTTGGTGCCACCCCTATACCCTCTCCTTTTCTTCCCATCAATTAGACAATTTGTAGGATTTTCTTCTACATTGATATAGGGAATTTCTAGGTAAGAAGCATAGCTTAGAATAGATTGATATAGGGAATTCCCTCAGCTATTTATCGTGAACACATTTCCCAAATTGCTAAATAACATGTTTTCTTCCTAAAAATATATAAGTTTTTTAAAATAAAATAAATATATTCTTGAAGTTTATAATAGTTCTTACTTAATTAATCATACGTTAATGACATGCCCCGATTCACGTGGCGTTAATAAGTTGAGCCAATCAACTCCTTTGAAAGTAGCCTTAGTCTTTTTGTGCTTTTGGATATTTGTTTCAAGAGGTCTTGTTGGAGGAGTTGTTAGGCGTTTTAGTCTTTATATTTTAAGATAATGGATAAAAATCCAGCACCTATATCCACAAGTGGATACACATATCCAAAAGTTACAAAACATAGGTACTTAGACTCTATATATCTTACAAAAAATCGAGCTACAGTACTATGGGCCTGTTTGGGAGCTTCTGGCAACTGCAGCTTCACCTAGAATCTCCAGTTGCTAAAAGCTCCACCAAACAGTCCTGATTTTCACATAGATTTTGAGAATATGTAGTTGTAGAATCCAGAAAATAAACTAGAAGCCAGAAGCTTCTCCAGATTCTCACCAGCTAACTTCTCACCAGCTGCTTCTCATAATCTTAAGCTCTCCCAAACATGCCCTATGATTCAAATCTTCTTCTATGATAGAGCTATAACCTTTGCTCTATCGTTATGTAGCATCTACCTACCACATCGCTTGTCTACTTACTTCGACCTCGGGAATCTTCCTAGACATAAATTAATTATCTTTTACATGCCAAGTCTTGTCACGTAGAAACCACACTAAGCGTTACCTCAACACAACCACTCTCCAGCTTTCTTCCAATGCACAAAGCAACCATCACCTGGCACTCACCACTCCTCATGGAGCTCCCCACTACATACGCCCAAGCATGAGAGAGGGGAAAGGGCAGATCTAGCCTACCCTGCCACCGTCGTGCCATCTGCTTGCTGTCGTTGGATCCCGTTGTGGACGCAAGGAAGAGAGAGAAGCAGAACTAGCCTACCCTAACAACGTAGCAATTCGCGTAGCTGTAGCCATCCGCCACCAGTGAGTCTGAGCAAGGAAAGGCTAGATCTAGCAGGCCTTGCCCACTATCATGCCCACATGCCACCATAAATGCAGCTTGTCGTCCCGCCAATCTCATCCCCTTGCAACCTGCTTCATTGCATGCTGCACCAGTCACCGCCACACTCAAAACCAGCCAAGGGAACGCAGGCGACCAAAAAAGTGTCGGATTTGGCTGTCACTGTCCTTGGATCAACTGACGAAGGCCACCTAGCCAACACACATATCATGATATTAGGCAACAACCCATGACCGCTGTGTTGGTTCACCACCACCATGCACTTTCCCCACGCAGAGCTAGTTCAGGGCAAGGCAAATCCATCTATCCTCAGAAGAAATCTATCGTCTTCAACCACTACGACTGTGGGTGAGGCCCAAACCCAACGGGAGAGATCCTGTCGCGCCCCCTTTCTTGTGGTCACTCAGGCTTCCGGCTACCTGCTCCAGTGACGACGAGGTAGAGATAGAAGAGGGACAAGAGTAGTGGTATAAGGGCTCGCGAGTCATAGGGTTTTGAGTCTAAGTGCTCATTTGGTGTTGGTTTGTGTGAACCTTTTGAAACAAGTGAATTTATGCACTCTTGTTTAGTCGTTGGCTGTATACACCCGTTTTGGGGTGTAGAAGTTGGATTTTAATCCATTTTCTAAAAAAAGGAATTTTTAACTGGGAGCAAATAAGGAGATGAATCTCATTTGGTTGACAACGAGTACAATTAAAGGGTGGGTGGATTGGTTGGGGGGCATGGAGGATTAGACTTAGGCATCAGCATACCCAAAAAGAAGAGCAATGTTGTTTTAGGATTATGCATTAATTAATAGCCCTAACCAACATTTACTGCAAATTGAAATTAATAGGAGTTCATTAAGATTGAAGACATGTTTTGTGATTTGTAGGCTTAGATCAAGTTGAATTGATTGAATTTAAACTTTGTTTGTATTTATGTGCATTCGTGGAGGCTATTGGATTTTGCTCTTGAGATGTGTATGTGCACATCTAGTGAAAGTTTTCTTATTTCTGACACTAGTCAGCCAAGAAAAGTTATGTTTTGTAGTTGGAGAAGAGTGACAATCTAGCGTTACAAAAACTGGTAATGAGTGCTCTTAGTGTGACAAATTTATCCATACCTGCTTTCATCAGATTTATTTGCTCCATCCCCACGATCCTTTTCTAGAACTGCAGACTTCTCAGTAGAGCTTTCTTTCACGATATTTTGTTGTTTTTTCAGAATCCTGCATTCTCCCTCCCGTGTCCCGGCATTGCTAACATCCATACCATCAAAGGTCCAATCTACACATCGGATGTTGACGCTAGGACGTCCTGGATGCATCCTAATAGCGTTAGTCAAAGCTGACTCTGCAAATCTTCTACAATGATCATGAGCAGTAGAAGCGACCCTAATTTTGGCAGAGATCTCTTCAAGTCCAGACAGATGTTCGATGCCAACAGGAATAATATCATGCTGATCTGCTCTATGGACATCAAAACCTAACTTGAGCTTCCTTAGACTAGGCATTGCACCAACCTCAAATTTCATCCATGCTACACTGCATATAAACTTGAAGTATCTGAGGATTGAGAACCCTGCATTGTCAAAGACAATCCTTTCTGCAGGCTTTGTGTGGACATAAAGTGACAAAACAGTGAGCTCTGGTAATACTCCGAGAACATCAATATTATTACTTGTTACTTCCCTTATCCCAATCTTCAAAATGCAGAGGTTTCCAAGCTGCCCAATCCAATTTGGGAGGTTAGAAAAGATGCAAACACATGGTAACAACTCAAACCTCTGAAGAAGGGCTGGTGGAGAGGACACACTGCTCCAGCCATCAACATTGATCCTCGTCTTTGTATCCCTGTCAATATGTAGAGTATCTGGACAGGAAGAGCCAGGAGGCGATAAAGTTATAGATGTGAGATTACGGAGTTTCCCCAGAATGGATCCAAGATATTTCATATTATCCTTCAGATTGTCAGAATGTATTTCAGAATAGGTGAGCTGCAAATCCCGGAGATTGCTCAGCTCACCAAGGCTCCATAGATTCTCCGCTGAGTTACAGCTGAGATCAAAATATTCAATTGTACGAAGCGATGTCATGTGGACAATTCCACTGGGCAGGTTTGTCTTAGCAGGAAGAGTAAGATGCAGCAAACCTGGCAAATAAATGTCTGTTGGAACTTCACTTATTTTTCCATCTATTTTCAGTGTCTCCAAATATGGTAGACCTTGCAACCGGGTTGGCAGTTTTACGGTGGCATTAGAGGTGACCTTCAAATATCTCAGTCGGACAAGTTCTGAAATTTTAGTGAGATCAACAATGCCGGTGCTATCCTCATCACCCAAAAAATGTAGAAATAAAACTTTAATAAGTCGAAACTCCATAATGAAAGGCATATACTTCAAGACCCCAAAGAAGGCAATTGTCCGAACTTGGAACAATCTCATATTAGTAGGTGGAGGTGCATCTTCTACATTATTGAAGTGAATAGATAATCGTCGAACCTTGTCAGCAAATCTTATAGTTGCCTGTGAATGGTCTATTGCAATAATAAAATTCTCTTCTATTGACTTGTATGTAACAAAATTGAGTACAATATGGTGAACTACACAGGACAAAACCTCACCGCTGTCATCGATATGGACAGGCTGGATGATTTTTCTACCAACAAGCTCATCAAAATAGCCCCTTGAAATTTCTTCCTTGTCATGCTCTTCAGTTGCACAGATAAAACCTTCAGCTATCCATTGATTCACTAAATCATCCTTCCAAATTATGTGATCTCCTTGATACATACTAAGATACAACATGCATGCCTTCAAATGCTGAGGAAGATTGTTGTAACAAAGGTTCAGTAGTTGTTTCATCCCTTCCAAAGTAGGATTTGCCATCAAACTGTAACCTAAGGATTTGTTTATATAATCCCATTGTTCCAGTTTATCAAGCTGGCTTGCTAAAAGACTTGCAACAGTGACAATAGCTAGCGGCAAGCCACCACATTTCCTTACAATATCATATAATGTTTCACTGACTTCTGGAGGACACTTAGAATGAGAGCCAAAGACTATACTGAATAATAGTTTTCTTGAGTCATCCTCACCAAAAGGTATCATCTTGAAAATAAATTTCAAGTCATAACTACAAGATTGCAAAGCTAGATCTTCAATTTCTGTTGTGGTCAGTATTCTGCTAGACTTGTTACCCTCCGGCAAAGCGCACTTAATAATATCCCATGTGGATGTAGCCCATAGATCATCAATTACGATCAAGAACCTGCGATTAAGGGCAGAATTTTTAACATAACAAAATGGAAGCTCTAATTATTGTTAGTGCCTGCTAGAATTTGCATGATGAAATGGTAAACATTAGGTCTAAGGTGTATTTTTCTCTCGATTTTGTACACTATGCAACTTATAACAGCCATCTTGAGGCCAAAAACGATTAAAAGGCATGGCTTGATCCAACAAATAGACTATTATAACTCATAGATTGGGCCTATGTGTGCGGGATGGGGGAGGAGGTTGAATAAGCATATAGGATTACAAATCAGGCACCCAGCCCTAAGGCCCCATTTTGCAAATGGATTATAAGAGGTGGGATTAGGATAGGAAATGAGTGGTTGTTAAGATAAAATAAGGTGACAAGAATGGATGGCTAGGGTTAAACCTTACCCTTTGATGGGTGGGATATCTTTTGCCAAATGAGGCCTAATTGTGGCTAAGGCTGATATCAGGGATAGCAAGCAACAGACACACCCCCTGCTATTGTTATGTTACACATTACATATAATTCAGTAGTATAGACTTCAGAGGAGCCGGTATCTGTCTTTCTTATCGATCTGCCATGATTCAATGAAATATTGAACCCATGTATTCAATACTTGACTAAAAAATTCTGTTTATACTTATGAAGATAACTTTAGTATCAGTATAACAGGCAAATGCACTGATTAACAATTAGTAGCAAACAGAAACAAAAAAAAGAGAGGAATAAATCAGTTTTACACCCCGAAAACATTGTACGTACCTCTTATCTTGCAGATATGTCCTGATACTGGAAATCAGGCTATGCACCTTCCAATTGTCAGGTGATTGGTGCGACCGAATCTGTAAGAGGATATTGATGAGAAGCCTCCTCATATCAGTCTTCTGGGATGTCCGCACAAATGCCCGGCACTCGAACTGCCACCGAAGCTTGCGGTACAGCTTGTTGGCAAGCGTAGTCTTGCCAACTCCTCCAACTCCCACGATGGACACCACCTTGAGCTTCTCCTCTCCACACAAATCGAGCAAGTTTTCAAGCTTGTTCATGGCGGCGCCAATGCCAACATGACAGGTGGACTCCATGAATGCCTAGAGGAGGTAGAAGATACATCACCTCTAGTAGTAGTAGTAGTAGTGGTGGTGATGCCAGGGGGTATGTTTTCGAGCTTGTTCAGGATGGCTTCTATATCGGTGTGGATACCACGGACTTTGTCGGCATGCTCCCTGAACTGCACGAGAGAAGCAGTCGGGATGCCAGCAAGCAAGTTTTTGAGCTTGTTCAAGTCATTCAGGGCAGCTTCCATACCATCGACATCTATACTGACAGAACGGACGTTGTCGACATGCTCTCTGAACTGCGTCTTTGTGGGATGCCAAGGTGTGGCAGAGCATACATCTCCTCTAGTAGTAGAAGCAGTACCAGCGACACCACCGAGGTTGTTGTACATGGCATGGCGTTGAAGCGCATCCTGGATGCGCAGGCTGAATTCTCTGATCTTGTTGGCCATCCACAACCGTTGTTTCAGTTTCTGGGGAATACATGGGATCTTGTTTCCACGCCACCGATTGAACTTACGGTGGTGAATATTAGGTCTATTCTGAGACCTGGCGGCATGCTCGTACTGGTCAATACTGTCCTCGATGTCGTAAGAGAGCTCACGCACCTCCTTCATCCAGCACCTGACCACCATGCTATGGTCCTCCAGTTTTGGCTCACTGTGACCATGGAGGATTGAGATTATTTCCTCAAGATCTTGCTTGATGAGTGGTATCTCCTCGTCTGCGCCCTTGGGCAGCATGCTACCGTGATGACACAGCAGCTCCTCCAGCCTCCTGGGGAGGTTGAACATGGCGCCCTCCATAGATATCTTCTCTCAAGACAAATCGAGTGCATATATGTTACAGATTTGCAAGGTGTACTGCCGAACAAGAATCAAATAATACTATTGGAATCACTGAAACAAACAAGAGAGGGATTACTGAATAAAAGCTAAAAGGCATCAAATGAATCACTAAAACAAATAAGAGGGGGATTACTGAACCTAGAAGCTGAAGGCATCATATCAGATTAGGATGAGCGAGCTTTCCGAGCGGTCGGAGTTGGGGGAGAGTTGTTCCATTTTGATTCATTTCCTAGCTTCCAAGTCCGAAATTTTCCCCTCTGGCGATGTGGCGTCTGGTCAAATTCATTGTCTCTACTCTCTAGGCCATTCAGCTAGTTCTCTTTAGAATAGTCGATGGGGCCATTAGTGTAGCAGTTGGACACTTAAATAATGATTACTATACGCAATTGACAAGCACTGGAGCACCATCCAGATCCAGCCATCCAGGATATGCTATTATGCTTTACACACTAATTCTCAAGTATACCTGAAATTGAGAATTGCATATCAACCCTCAAACTTCACATTATTTACAGTTTCAAAATGCAGAATTACTTGTCAAAGTTTCACAAATTATGATATGCAAATTCACGACCCACTTGACCATAGACAAAAAAAAGAAACATCTTGGCGACAAACTTGAATGGCTAAAGAGCAATATATCATCCTTTAGGCTTTTATGCTATGCATACAGGAAAACAGGAATTAGTAAACAGGCTTTTTCACACACCAAAATAAACAGAATCCTTTCTCACTAAGAGCACACCTATTTTGTACTGTACTGGAATGTGAAATACGTCATGACTCATGAAGTTGTGACACAAAACCTTTTCAAAAATACAGTGCTGAATTTTGAAGAAGATTGTTAAAACTTAAAACTATTTTTCTGATATAAAGCCACTGATATGATTATCTGAAAACCGATAATAATAATATTCAGAGGTTTGTGAAAAGAATGCACTTACTTGTCTGATTTTGCACTCAGTTGGGGATATCCGCGCATATATTGAGCTGTTGACTTAGCAGACGACTTGGAGGATGCAAGGCTTGCAGAGCAGCTGCCCAAGCTGCTGCTGCTGCTCATCCTTGGCACATGTCCATGGAGTCCGCGGCGGCGACCGCATTCTTGAAGACAGTCATGGGGAGGCTGTTCATGGCGCTGGAGAAAGAGTACAACAAGCACAGAGGCCTCGCGCAAGAAAGCCACTCCCTGCAGCAAGACCTCCGCATGATCGCCGCCGCCATGGACGACCAGCAGCTTTCCATGGGGAGGAGCGACGCCGCCGCACGCACGGCCGTCGCGCGGCTGTACACCGAGGAGATGCTCGACCTCGCGCACGACATCGAGGACTGCGTCGACCGCTTCTTGCACCGCCTCACCTGCAACCACCACAAACGCGGCGGCGCCGGCGCCGGAGCATCGCTGCTGCGCCGGGTCACGCACGAGCTCAGCAAGGTCAAGAGCCGCTCGAGCTTCGGCGACGAGATCCAGAAGCTCAAGAAACGCCTCAGGGAAGCGCACCAGCGAGTCCTCACCATCAATCCGCCGCCTATTCTCATCGCTGGTGGGTCGTCGTCATCGGCGGCGGTCGCGCCGCCGTGTCGGGCAGCGCGCAGCCCGGTGGGCATCGGGGAGGACGTCGAAGAGCTCCTCTCGATGCTGGACGAGGTGGAGGGCGAGCCGGTGCAGATGCGAGTGATCTCCGTCGTGGGGTTCGGTGGGTTGGGGAAGACGACCCTCGCCAAGGCGGTCTACGATGAACCTCGAGCAAAGGACAAATTCCGCCACCGTGCGTGGGTCGCCGCCGGTGGCTCGCCGGAGATCAGGGGGATCCTCCGTGATGTCCTCCAGCAAGTGCGTCCCGACGATGCCATGGATGTGGACGGCCAGCGTCTTGAAGCTTCGTTCAAAGACTACCTCAAGGACAAGAGGTGACTGCAAAGAATTCTAATTTTCAAGAACCCAAATAAATACTTCCATGAAATTTTCTTGTTTTAATTAGTTATTCCAGTGATCCAAATGATTATTGACAAAAATTTTTTTTAATATTTACTGCACTTCTGCTCCTCATTTCTCAATTTGATCGTCATGCAGCATATACTGACTATTGTCAATTTTTACATTAGTAGAATATGTGTTTTACTAAATTTGTTTCTCAATTCTCAATCTGGTTATTAGGTATTTAATTGTGATAGATGACATTGGGATGGATCAATGGAGCATCATCAGGTCAGCCTTTGAAGACAATGGAACAAGCAGTAGAATAATACTTACCACAACAATTCAGTCAGTAGCTAATATGTGGGCGGACCCAGAAATGGGCCAAGGCCCGGGCCGCTCCATGGAAATTTCAGCCCAACGCAAAGTTTACATGGTAAAAGGAGGTCCAATAGACTTTTTCCTGGTTAAAAAACATACTTCTCTAATGGGCCTCCCATCCCAGGCCCCGGGCCGTGGACCAGCTTGCCCGGGGTCTGGGTCCGCCCCGTGCAGCCATGGCAGTGGTTATGTGTACCAAATGAACACCCTGGGTGAAGACGACTCCAAAAAACTAGCTTTTCCAGGGTTTAGATCACCTGAATTGGAGCAAGGTTCAGCATCCTTATTAGGGAAATGTGATGGTCTTCCTCTTGCTCTGGTCAGTGTCTCTGATTACCTGAAGAGTTCAAGTGAGCCCACAGGAGAGCTTTGTGCTAAATTATGCCGTACTCTGGGCTCTCATCTGAAAGAGAAGCATGGCCATGACAACTTTTCTGAACTCAGGAAGGTGCTTCTTGACAACTATGACAGTTTATCTGGCTATGCTCTGAGTTGCTTGCTGTACCTTGGTATATTCCCAAGCAATCGTCCTCTGAAGAAGAAAGTTGTAATCAGGCGGTGGTTAGCTGAAGGATATGCAAGAAGTGATTCTCTTCGCAGCGAAGAGGACATTGCCGATGAGAATTTCAGTAAGCTTATTGACCGGCATATCATTCAGCCTATTGACACAAGAAACAATTCTGAAGTAAAGACGTGCAAAACTCACGGAATTATGCATGAATTTTTGCTGAACAAGTCCTTGACCCAGAGATTCATCGCGACATCATCTCATGATCATCCAAGACTTGGAATCAATACTACCAATGCACGCCACCTTTCTGTCCATGCTGGCGAACTGAGAGAATGCGTCACATCTGATGAAGAATTATCTCGTGTCCGATCTCTGACAATCTTTGGGGATGCAAGTGATGCAATTTCATATTTTCGCAAGTGCAAGCTGATACGAATCTTGGATCTACAAGAATGGAACAATCTAGATGACGATCATCTGAAACACATATGCAAACTGTGGCATCTGAAATACCTGAGCTTTGGGGGCAATATCAGTGAGCTTCCGAGGAGCATTGAAGGACTTCATTGTTTAGAGACACTGGATTTAAGGAGAACCGAGATAAAGTTTTTGCCCATTGAAGCAATCATGCTGCCCCACTTAGCTCACCTTTTTGGAAAGTTTATGCTTCAGTGTTTAGAGACACTGGATTTAAGGAGAACCGAGATAAAGTTTTTGCCCATTGAAGCAATCATGCTTCCCCACTTAGCTCACCTATTTGGAAAGTTTATGCTTCATAAAGATGATCTGAAGAATGTGAACAAGAGTAAACTACAAAAATTCTTCTCTTCAAATAAGAGCAACCTGCGAACTTTAGCAGGATTTATCACTGACGAGGGCAAAGGATTTCTGCAACTTGTTGGTCATATGAAAAAACTGAGGAAGGTTAAGGTATGGTGCAAGCATGTTGCAGGTAGCAGTAATTACATCGCTGATCTTTCACGGGCCATTCAGGAATTCACGAGGACTCCGATTGACAGGGATAGTGACCGTTCTCTCTCACTTGATTGTGAAGAATGTTCTGAAAATTTTCTGAGCTCAATTGATTTGGAGCCATGCTCTGAAGATTCCAAATACCATCTAAGGTCACTAAAGCTACATGGCAAGTTACTCCGGTTACCTCCATTTGTTACTTCGCTGTCAGGTCTCACTGAGCTGTGCATTTCATCAGCTATACTGACACAAGATCATCTGTCAGCACTAATCAAACTGAACAGACTTCTTTACCTCAAACTGATCGCAGACAAGCTTGAAAATATTGAAATAAAAATTGGGGCATTCCCAAGCCTGCGACGCCTGTGCTTTGTCATGAAAATTATGACTTCAGCTCTAACAACAATTGAACAAGGGGCTCTATCGAACCTCGTCTCGCTTCAGCTGCTCTGTCAAGGTCTAGTTGGTCTTTCCGGCATTGAGATCAGACACCTGAAACATCTTAAGGAAATCACCATCGACTCTGCAGTGACTGTACAAACAAGACAAGATTGGGAACAGGCAGCAAAGAACCACCCAAACAGGCCAAGAGTTCTGTTGTTCAGAAAGGTTGATCCGATGGAAAGCGAGGAGCCTGAAAAACCTTGTGCCATAGGGGAAAAGAGGAAACTTTCTGTAGCCCAGCCAACAGGTTCAGATGGTGGACTGGATTCTAGCCTTAAGAAGATGAGACTTTCAGAGCCTTCTTCTTCTCGGCTTCAGGTGATCGTTCATCCGGTGGTAGTAACAGCCACTGAGGCAGCACCCCAGCATTCGTTTGCGAATCTCTAGCACATATATTCAACTGCAGCAGACTGCAATAAAATACAATTCAAAATTTGCAAGAAAAGCTTAGCAATCTTTATTTCTGTTCAGTACATCTGTTAGACAGTTACATGGTCCAGATTTCTGTCTTTCCCTACTTGTTGTGTACTTCCTACAGTTACTGTTTAGCTACATTAGTGTGGAACTTTACGTGCCTAGAGCTTTGAAAATGCTTTGTTTTCGTTGAAATGAGTTGTTGTCTGTAAGTCTATTGGAAAGAAGTGAATGCCAGGAAGTGAATTTGTCCAAAAGTCGCCGAAGGCTGTATGTTCAGGCCTCAGGGTCTAAATTGACCTTGTTTTGTGTAAGTTTAGGGTGTTCAATAATGTAACTTTAGGGGATAATTTGGGGATTTTTCACTGTACTTTGATCCAGCCCTAAAGGGCAAGTATAAATGTGTACAAGAGATGTGAAAAGTCTAAAATGCCCCTAATATTCTTAACAAATAACATGCATTTTTAATGCTAAAATGCCCTGCTTTTGTAATTTGAGGTGTAAAATTGACCTGTTGCTGAGTTAAGTGAAGTCTATCCTGTTTGTAAAATATAAACTGGTATATATTGGGATACCGAAACTATGTACCGAGTGTGTTGTACAAAACTGCACATGTAGCCATCGAATTTCTTCAATCTTACGAAACCAAACAAAAAAACCAGTTGTAAATTCTGACAGAGCTTCGTTTGCACCAGGATTCAACAAATCAATAGAACAACACTACCAAGGCATACAGTAATTCCCATTCCACGAGAAGACGGCAGCGGCGGCGGAGGACTCACCGTGTGTGTGGCTCCTCTGAATCAGGCGGCGCGATGCAGACGAGGATTCCAGGCGGACTGATGGTCGGAGGAAGAAGGAACAGCGCAAGAGATGGAGCTCCCCCTCGTCGTCGCCGCCGCCATGCGCGCCGCTCTTCCCCTCCCCATCGTCGGGGGTTGTGGTTGCTGAATTGTGGGCCAGATTGAGGGAGAGAGAAGGCCCATGCTTGTTAGGCCGGTGATTGGTCCAGTTACGACTAAAAGGCCCATGCACAAACACGTCTTTGTTGTGCCACGTTTTCTAATTCTACTCCTTAACTAGAAAACCGGATAAGACGACTTCCTGAACTATTGAAACATGTGTAATTTGACTCCTTAGTGGTTTTGGAGGGTGGTTTTGCTGACGTGGCGGTATTGATTTGGTCTCCGTCCCACGTGGCACTTGTGTAATATTAGAATTAAAAATAGATATGTGGGATCCATTTGTCATTCACACAAAAAAAAACAATGGGACCCACTGACATGTGGGGCCCACATGGTCATCCTCTCTCCTACCCTTCTTCTTCCTGCCTCTCTCCCTCTTATATACTCCCTCCGTTTCAAAATGTTTGACGCTGTTGACTTTTTATCACATGTTTGACCGTTCGTCTTATTCAAAAAATTTAAGTAATTATTAATTCTTTTCCTATCATTTGATTCATTGTTAAATATATTTTTATATAGGCATATAATTTTATATATCTCATAAAAGTTTTTGAATAAGACGAATGGTCAAACATGTGCTAAAAAGTCAACGGTGTCAAACATTTCGAAACGGAGGGAGTATATCTCTCTCTCTTCCCATTGGCCGTCTGCGTGGAACGGGATTGGAGTGGCGGCGGCAGAGGAGACGGCTGCGGTGGCAGGCAGCAGGGCGGGCGGCTGTCGGAGTGGTGGCAGCGGGCGGGAGGGTGGGCATCGCTTCAGGATGGTGCTAGTGCGGATGGAGGCGAAAAAGGAGGCGGGCAGAAGGGCAGACGGCGGCCGGACTGGTGGTGGCGGGCGGGAGGGTGGGCAGCGCTTCGAGGTGGTGCTAGCGCGGATAGAGGTGGAAGATGAGGCGGCGGCAACGGGCAGCAGGGCGGACGGCAGCCGGAGTGGTGGCGGCGAGCGGGAGGGTGGGCGACGCTTCGGGGTGGTGCTGGCGCGGATAGAGGCGGAAGAGGTGGCAGCGATGGCGGCGAGTAGCATGCAGTGGCAAGGGAGATGGCTGCGGCGGCGGAGATGGGTGGGCGAGGTCGCTGGAGCGTCAGTGGCAGCGGAGAGGATGGGGCGGCGACCAAGCTGCAAAAGGTGTATCGGAGCTTGCCTTCGCCTTCCCGCCCGCCGCAGAGTGGACCATGCAGTGCTTCGATCACCAACGACGGGTGCAAGTGTTCCTCCGTGGCAGGTTCCCCGCCTTGGTCGCCGTGGCATCGTACGCTTCCCTGGCCGCCGTCTCCATCGTTGTTGTGCCGCTCCTGTACCCGCAGCTCTAGCACCGCCATGTTGCCGCACCGGTGTTCGCCGTTGGCCGAAGAGGAAGAGAAAGGATGAGATAAGGAGAGAGAGGAAGGGGGAAGAAAGGTTGGATAGAGGATGACCATGTGGGCCTCACATGTCAGTGGGTCCCATTGTATTTTTTGTGTGTGAATGATAAATAGGTCCCACATATATATTTTAAATTCTAATAATGTTATATAAGTACCACGTCAATATCACGTATGACGAAGACCTAGTTAACACTGCCACGTCAGCGCCACATCAGCGAAACCTCTCTCCAAAACCACTAAGAGAGTCAAATTACACTGGTTTCAATAGTTCGAGGAGTCATTTTATCTGGTTTTCTGGTTAAGGAACACGAATTAGATTCGGCTGACTTTTAAGGGAATCAAAGTGAACTCTTTTCCTTTATTCTCCGAACCACACCAATCAGTCAATCACACACGCGTCAGCTCTCGTGTCGATCACCTATGATTAGGGCATGAATTTTGCATCTACCGTTAAAACCTCCTCTGAATAGCAGGACATTTGCACTTTTCACCATTATATACCTGTTATTTGATTGATTACAGGTCGCCATTGTCCAAGTCGGTGACAACCGTGACATAACGATTCTACAGTCTACACTCTCTGTACACTACAGTACTAGACAAAACAAAGCTAATCATTTCATATCTTGCAGATTTAACTCTGAATTTCAGATGCAAGTAACCTACGTAATTTCATAATTTGCACCATTTTCATGCTACCAAAACCTAGTAAAAATAATCTCTTGACGTACAATGTTGCTTACTGTGGTACATTTGAAGCGAGCTTTAGTTAACTGAATTAACCCTGCATAATTAACCAGACAAGTGACTGGAGGATTCTTGTGTCGCTCTCGTTGGGCGACCCGGGAGGCGACGCGGTCAGCCCCTCACGGCCACCCTTGTCCACCCCATCGCCACCGCCAGCGACGCTCCCCACTACTGTCAGTGGGGGGCCCCACCCCACTCTCCAACTCAATACTCTCTGAAACAATGCCGAGAGGCCACACCCTCCCTCTCTATTTATACATGATGTATGCAACCTAAAACCATGAATCAAACTTATAAAAAAGTCCTAATCCACCTAGAAAACCTTCTCGTACAAGAAACAAATTTTACAAACTTCGATTGTACCAAATTTGGACTTCATCCAAATTCGACTCCGCATCCCATACGCACACAATATCTCCGCTCGATACACGCCAGTCTGACCGGCAACCCATGTCCGGTCCGATCGGACCAAAACTCCAGCAGCAGTTCCTGTTCACCTGCAAATCCAATCATCTCCAAAACCACTTCAACAATAATCTCCAAATATCAAAACCAATAATCTCAAATGCCAATTGTTCATCACAGAATAAGAATCAAAACACACTTTGATTTTACATGGAAAACCTGGAATAAAACCTGTTTTGAGAAAAAACTGCCTAAAGACCCAACTGACATTGTCTTTTTGGTTTGCCATCTTCTATCTATCTATCTATCTATCTATTATATACTAAAAGTCCATTAAACTTTCTACAAACGCTCTCAAGCAGCCATGTGGCACTCTAATAAATTAGAGAAATCATAGAAATTCTAAGAAAAAAGCAAAACATCTGCCCCTTAATTTTCACTTAAATTGGTAGGTCCAATATTATATACCGTTAGATGAAATTGATATAAAAAAAAAACTATGGGTCCCACCTCTCATCCTTCTCTCGCGCATACGTGATACGTAGGTATAGGTACGTACACCATGTATGAACGCTTCTTTCCCTTCTTTTTTCCCCTTTTTTTCTTCTTTTTTCTATTTATATAATGGATATATATTATTTAAATAATTATAATTTTACAAACAAAGAATCTACCATCATGCAACTCACACGTAACTAAATTAGCTCTACAATTTTTGAAAATAAAATTTACACCATTATATGTTACCCATTAAATCAATAATGTAAGATAATTTCTACTTAAACTGGCATACTCTTTGTACTATTATTTTCAAATAATGCACTATTTTAAAATAAATTTTATACAATTTATATTGTGTACCTATCAAATAAACATTTTAAGATCTATATTGACTAATTTATACGTGCACTTAAACCAATGGACCCATTATTTAAAACATCGGATGTATTTTTTATTACATTGGACTATTATTCTCAAATAATGCATTGTTAAAATAAAGTATACACCATTATATTGTGCACCCATTAAATTAATAATTTAAAATCTATATTAACTAATTTACACTTACACTAGAATTGGTGGACCCATTATATAAATCATCGGATCTATTGTTTGCTAATAAATAAAGCGTCCGAAGTTCTTTTTTGACCCGCTGCACAATACATGTCTGCACCTTTGTGTTTCACACGCGTGACAAAGCGTCGTGTCTGAGGCATCTAAGGTGATCACGACTGTTGCAGCGCTACCGCTTTGCTACATATATATTAAATCATATATGGAGATGATTAGTTTTGTTAATAACATAAAAAGAAAATTAAAGGTGTGATGTAGTGAGAGAAGAATTAAGCACCATGGGTTGTGTTTTTTTCAACACTTAGCTTTATATAAGCTGAAACCGAGAGTTGATTATAGAATAATTATTGATGAGTAACCCTACTTGCTGTGTTCTTTTTGAGAGGTTGAGAACCCCTCCCATCCGCACGGAAAACGGAGCGATAGATCAACACGTGATTAATTAAGCATTAGCTATAACAAACTTAAAAATGGATTAATATGATTTTTTAAAGCAACTTTCCTACATAAAATTTTTACAAAACACGTACAGTTTAGTAGTTTGAAAAGCGTGCACGTGAAAAACGAGGGAGATGGGTTGGAAACCCATGGGAAAGAACGTCATTGTCCATGACCTATGCTACACATGTCGCAAAGCAAATTTAAACAGCTATAACATTTAAATCACAGCGCTAATTTTTTTAATCCGGTATTTTTTTAAATCATCTGTTGATTTGTTGTTAGTTTGCTTCTGATTAAATTATGGGTAAAAACCCATATCCACTACATTTTGACTTTAAAAAAAATATTTTACTGTTTGGTTATATTTTCTAACTCTTGAGTGGCACTAAAACACTTATAAAAATATTAAAAAAAAACTTATAAAAGTAAAAATAAAATAATGATTATGCTACGTCGTATTTGGAATTTGTACTATTTGTCGTACAGGTAAATAGAACTCTTACTATAAGACAAGGGTGTTATAAAGGAGTTTAAGACCCTCTTTTTTTTCCCAATTCCATAGTTTGGATTTTCGTTTACATGCTTTTCAAGTTTCTAAATTGTGTCTTTTTTAAACAACATTTTAACTTTTTAGGAGTCAATTAATTGGAGATCAACAGATAATAAAGTCGTAAATGAATATGTAAGAGCCACTTTGAACAACTATAAATAGGTATCAAAATTAATTGCTATTAATTAGATATCTAATGGCTTGCTAGCCACATAATTAATTTCTCTCTACACGTACATAAACATGGATGAAGCTAGAACAAATATTACCATATGCTCCATACATATATATTACGCGGTTAATATTCTAATTACATGTGTTAAGTCCTTTAAAATTCCTTAAAATTGCTCTCAAGCTGCCAAATCATGCGCCTTCGTGAGATGATTTAATCACAAGAATTTTGAGTATCTTGCTCTCGCATTTTCATTTGTGGCCATATTATGTATATAGATGGACTGTATGATAATTAACTAACAATAGTTTCTTATTTACTCGAGAGAAAAAAACATGATTCAAAAATCGTAAGTACATCTATCTCCTACTCAAAAGTTTGTGAATGGTATTTTAAGATACCTTAAGAAAAATAGACCCTTAAATTATTATTAAATAACATTATCCAATCTTTAGTTTGCCCTTAATCTATTAGACAAATTTTTTGAACAAACAATAATTTTACCTTTCAATAATATAAGTGCCCGTGCATGCGCGCGGACCAACTTCCTAGTTGGTTATAAACTTGGGCTGTTTTGCAGAAATCGGAGACAGATCAAAGAAGGCTGCTCTTGGGTGCCAAGCTCATAAGACAAGTGGCAAGTGACATCTTCAACTCCAAGTTTAGGTGGCGAGCTGATGCCAGAAGAATAGGATAGTGAAGAAATGATGGCGCTGAAGTTTGCTGCTGCTATCTTGACTGTGTGCGCTGGCGTTTCTGCTTTAGGCTTTTGTGCTTGAAAGTGGTGCTCTTCTTCGGCTTTTGTCTATCCTAGTTAGACATTTGCAGCTGGTGTGCTGCCGCCTCTATCTGTTATGCTACAAAACCATTCCTCTTTTGGTGCTTTCACTCGAACCTTGTAGCTTTGTTCATTTCTAGTAATGAAAATGGGGGCCCTTGCCCTGGATCTAAAAAAAATAAATCCTGTAATACGAGTGAAATGTTCCTCTAAACCATGCAAATGGCAGTTCTAGAACAACCGCGCCGTCAAGGCTAGCTCCAGCACGCTCATCTAGTCGGATTCGTCCTCGGAGATTTCATCGCTACTGGTGGCTAGGACATGGCGCTCTGAGCTCGATTTTGTACTGTACAGCCGACACAAGCTGAGAGGGAACCTCGGCTGCAAAAACATGTGTATATTAATAATTAATTGTAAGAGGTACGTATATACTTGAGATGTATGGTAATTAAATACTCCATCCGTTCTAAAATATAAGTAATTTTAGGTAAATGTGATGTATCATATGACCATATAAATCTAAACATACTCTCTTTCCCTAGATTTATGGTCCTACCATATATCACATTCACCTAAAATCTCTTATATTTTAGGATAGAGAGAGTATACATATGGCATATCTAGTTATTTACTCCCTCAGTGGAAAAAAAACTACTACGAGAAAACAACCATAAAGATTTATTACACAATTAATGCAAGTAATAAATGTATAAAGTGCTTGCTCGCGCGCGTACGTATCAGTTTAGAGATTGATTACATACCATGAGACCAACGTTTTGCCGTGAGCGGCACAACTGCGCCAAAAGCTCCCCAGACCCATTGGCGGCGTTGTCAAGTGCCCAAAACTCGTCGATCTTCCACTTGGTTTTGCGCCCCGACGGCTCGGGGCCGCGGTAGAACAACATGCTCTTCTTCAATCCGACGGGATGTCTATCTGCAGAGTACACGAAACTGGCTTTGCCTGCGGTCTTCCAATACCCTGATGGTGTGCTCCGGTCCATCCGGTGCATCCATCTCTCATGGTGGCGGAAGTAGAACCACGGCTCCCCAGCCCCGGCACCCATAGCTGCATGAATTAATGTAACATGATTCTTTTAATTTCCCACTAATTCAGGAGGTACCAAGAGGTAGTAGTACAGTGTTGAGTACATTTTAATGTAATTTAATTTGGAGTAAATTTCACAGTACTACAAATACTTTGTTCAAATTATGGCAAAACTAAAGATTTAAGGTGGTGTATCACAAAACTACAGATTTAACAATAAAGTTATTACAAAACTATAGGTTTAAGGTTAAATATCACAAAACCATAGATTTAACAATAAAATTATCACAATACTACAAATTTTAATGTTGAAATCCTTAGTACTAATGTTATATTTGAGTTATAATGTCCAAGTTTTATAATTAAATTGATATAAAACATATTGTTTTGTGATAACTTTATTACTAAATTTGTAGTTTTACAATAGTCCACCTTATATCTATAGTTTTGTGACAAATTTAGTTTTATATTTTTTTATACATTATGTTAAATATGTAGTTTTGTGATAATTTGGCTAAAATATCTGTAGTTTTTCTTTTTACAGTTTTTCCCCAAAATTTATAGTTTGTGAACCATTAGATCGTGTGGAGATTTCTACAAAGTTACTATGTTGCGTGCCCATGGCGGAGGTCGAACTCACGACATCTCATGTGAAGGCAAGTTGCACTAGCCAACAAGCTGTGTGCAAATTTTAGTTGATTTCATAGACCCCTCCATAAAAAAAAACCCAACCTAGTTGAGACAGTTCCTTGTCTAGATTCATCGTACTAGATTATGTATCATTCCTAATTAGATTGTGTTTTTTTTGGACGAAGTAAGTATAAGTTACAATATAATTTTGGTGTAGTTATAATGTAATTAATTACACTCCAACAAATTATACTATAGTTCCAAATATGAAATTCCTTACAAGAAAATTGTTGAATGATGTATACAAAAGACATACAAAACACGCAAAGTGGGATACAAAAGACAACCCCAGCCATTGGCTATAAGTGTATATGTATGGTCTGCTTGCATCTTTCCCTCAGATCACCTCCCACCTCCCATAGGGTGACTCAAGGGATAATCCACCACCGCTGCCATCATCACTAAGGCTAAATAGCAGTGCACGGCACGCTATGCGTGTCTCTAGCCCGGCCGATGCTGCCAAATAGACCTAAAACTGAAATAGGTCATCCACTCTACAATGCTTGTGTCCTCTTTTGAATGGCTTTTGAGCTCGGGTGGGACCGCTGCAGGATGATTCCCTGCCTTTTTGTGCTGAAGAACTCGTGCCTCAAGTAAGACCTGAGCTTCCAAGTGAAGATATGGTCCCATGCATTTCTCTCTTCCATGGCAGTAGGTGTCCTACGTGGCGGGCTAGAGCCACACGCCACGTGGTGCACTATGAAGGGCCTAAAGCTGTTGTCGGTATGCCATCATTACCACAGTGGTGGTAGAGTTGGCACAACTATATTTGTTTGGCAATCTCTATTGATGGTGACATCTCAATATCTGATTTGAATATTCTAACTCTACCTAATCTAAGGGGTTCGATCACTGGGTCAACACTAGGCCACGAGAAAAAAATGTTTGGTTCGATTTAGCCATAGGGCTAGGACACTGACTTAATTCTCGTCCCCTCTGCTTGATAGCCATCAACCCAAAGTTGTTGGCTTTCGTAGGCTGCCGTGTAACCGTGTCGTGGCCAATCAATGGTGGGTTGGGCTTTGCAAGGGATTTACATGCATGGTGAAAAAAAACCCCAATGGGCCTGCAATCTTAAGCCTTGGGCCACAGCCTGTGTGGCTTAAGACCTAGGTCCGCCCCTGTTTGGTGCCTATGCATGGTGATGGATGGCTTCGCTTCGGGAGCATCTCCAACAGATTCTCCAGTAGACTATCCAAATTAAAATTTGGTCATTTTAGCAGAAAATCTCACTCCAACAGCCTCTCTACTAGAATGGTTAAGCCAAATGACTGGCCAAACTCCTCCCCTCAATGGCCAAATTTGGCTAGCCCAAATTGCCTTGCCATTCGTGGACCCCACGTTGGAGATGCTTTTCTCTCACCCCGTACTACGTGCTCGAGCCGGCTACAGCTACCGTCGGCGACGGCTGCGACGGATGGGGACGGAGCCCGAGCAACAGAGGATGGCGGCGACAAGCCTGAGTGGTGGCGACGAGCCCGGATGGTGGCGGATGGCGGCGACGAACCCGAGTGGCGGCAGCGGCAGCGGATGGCGGCAGCGGATGGCGGCAGCGGATGGGGGCAGAGCCCGAGCAGCGGTGGATGGCGGCGACGAGCCCAAGTAGCAGCGGATGGGGGCGGAGCCCAAGCGGCGGTGGATGGCGGCGACGAGCCCAAGTCCCTCCGCCTATCACCGCTGCGCCCTTTCTCTCTCCGCTCGTGCCTGCCGCTACCATGGGGAAGGAGGCGCGTCGTCGCTTGCTCCCATCCTCCACCCGAGCTCGCTGTTGACGGCTCGTCCGCGCTCAAGATCGACAACAATGGGACGCCGGCATCGCACCTCCCCGAGGAGAGGATTTCGGCGTCGCTCCTCCCCGCCTCCCACCTCCTCCCAACGTCGGCGCCGCCCCTCTCAGCCTCCCTGCGCAGCCGCTATCTGCTGCCTCCGCCGGCCATCCCCCCCCCACCCCCAGCCATCCGGCGCCACTGCCCATCTATTGCTGCCATGCCACGGGAAGGTGGGGAAAGAAAAGAAATGAAAGGGAGAAGAGTGCCAAGACACTGGCATGTGGGGCCCAAGTAAAAATGGAGAGTGTGGAATGGGGAGTCTGTTGGATCGTATAGGAGATATGGAGAGGAATCTTTTTGGCAAGTTGGCCAAATGGATGAATGGAGGGGCAAAAATAGCCATGTTGTTGGAGATGCTCATAGTCAGACCAAATGCAATGAAGCTCAGGTTATGGCGTAGCTTGATCGAGGAGTTAGGTATTGGTCCGTGAGGTACCAAGGTTGTGTGATAGCCATAACCATATTCCTGATCATGCAGAATAGCTTGATGATCGTTTAGATCTAGAGGGTTTGCAACCTTTGAAGCCTCATCTTTTGGCTTATACTTATAAGTCAAAAATTGAATTTTCAATTTTAAATATGAAGTTGATTTTGAGGTTTTATTTCATCTTACTTTATTTTTCAGTCTTTGCTTTTATATCGCTAAGAACACATATATAAAAGTGTTATTTTTATAAATAATACTTTTATATATGTATTCTTAGTGATCTATCAATATTCTTCTTATAAATTATTCGTGGTACCCTACAGTTTTTCTTCTTTTAGCAATGAGTATCCCTTATAGATGTAGAAAGCATGCTTATTTTCATTACTTACAAAATCTACGAGCAAATTGTATAAAACCACATATTTTATGATCAAAGTTGTAGAAAAGCATACATTATATGACACTTGTCACTTAAATATAGGTACTCCCTCCGTTTCAAAATGTTTGACATCGTTGACTTTTTAGCATATGTTTGATCATTCGTCTTATTCAAAAAAATTTAGGTAATTATTTATTCTTTTCATATCATTTGATTCATTGTTAAATATACTTTCATGTACACATATAGTTTTACATATTTCACAAATTTTTTTTTAATAAGACGAACGGTCAAACATGTGCTAAAAAGTCAACGGTGTCAAACATTTTGAAACAAAGGGAGTATTATGATATTAATGTTTCAGAAAACATACTTAACATCACCACTATCAACATTCCACAGTAATATGCAGTTTTTTGACCGATTATGTACCCGCATGCATTTAAAAAGTTGATAGTTATGTACATCCTTGCTGGATGTAGGTATTAATTTATTATCTAAACTTTTTTAAGTTTACTTTCATGTACACATATAGTTTTACATATTTCACAATTTTTTTTTAATAAGACGAACGGTGAAACATGTGCTAAAAAGTCAACGGTGTCAAATATTTTAAAACAAAGGGAGTATTATGATATTAATGTTTCAGAAAACATACTTAACATCACCACTATCAACATTCCACAGTAATATGCAGTTTTTTGACCGATTATGTGCCCGCATGCATTTAAAAAGTTGATAGTTATGTACATCCTTGCTGGATGTAGGTATTAATTTATTATCTAAACTTTTTTAAGTTTATGGACATGCTGCTAGTAATAAATTACGTTGAAAATACTTTGATGGATGTGACTGAGGAGGAACCACCTGTGAGCTGACACGTGTCAACATAGTAGGAGGCGACAACGGGGAAATGGCACGTCGTGCCATCCTGCTGGTTGTTCAGCTTGTTTCTCAACAGGTGCACAATGTCCCATTCAGATAAGGTTGACCTGAAGAGAGCAACATATATTTCCTTTCAAAAAAAAAAAGAGATCAGAAACATATATACATGACCATTTTCTTTAAAGATAACGGACAGTTAGCTCGAGCATAATGTTTTTTCTTTAAAAAAATATATAACGCCATATCTATTATATTATTAAAGGAATAGAAAAAGGAGCCTCCACGTTTGCTCTCATGGCCTAGAAATTCTCACGTTAATCGGAGAAAAAGAAAAAGCAGAGTCCATATAGAAATACATTTAGAAATAGCTGAAATTTGGAATTAAAAATTAAGGAACATTAGAAGAGGAGACTAGAGTCCATATAGAAATACAATTTAGAAATAGTTGAAATTCGGAATTAAAAAATAAGGAATATTAGAAGAGGAGACTAGAGTCCATATAGAAATACAATTAGGAAATAACTGAAAGTCGGAATTAAAAATAAGGAATATTAGAAGTAGAGTATAGAGTTCATATAGAAATACAATTAGGAAATAGCTGAAATTCAGAATTAAAAAATAAGGAATATTAAAAGAGGATACTAGAGTCCATATAGAAATACAATTAGGAAATAGCTGTAATTCGGAATTAAAAAATAAGGAATATTAAAAGAGAAGACTAGAGTCCATATAGAAATACAATTAGAAAATAACTGAAATTCGGAATTAAAAAATAAGGAATATTAGAAGTAAAGTATAGAGTCCATATAGAAATACAATGAAGAAAAAAAGGAAATTTGGAATTAAAAAATAAGGAATATTAGAAGTAGAGTATAGAGTCCATACATGAATTTGAAACTAACTAAAATTCGGAATAAATGTGATAAAATTAAAAGTAGAGTTTAGAGTCCGTATAAAAATACAATTTACAAATAACTAAAATTCGAAATTAAGAAAAACATGGGAAGAAGAGTTTAAAGTCAATATAGGAATACAATTTAGAAGTAACTGAAATTTGAAATTAAAAATTAAAGAATATTGAAAGATGAGTTTAGAGTCCACATAGAAATACAATTAGAAATAATAAAAATTTAGAATTAAAAAAAAATAAAAGACGAGTCTAGAGTCCATAAAGGAATATATATAATTTATAGATAACTAAAATTTGATAGTAAAAATAATTAATAACTAACACGTATATAAAATACAATATGAATATTACACATTAGTAGTTTCGTAAAGTTATTGCAAAATTTAAAATTATGTTGTCATTGTAATATATTTTAATAATATAATGAGAAAACATATATGCTATTATATGAGAGAAAATATAATGATGCTAGCCGCGCAATCTGCGCGGGCCTCCATGCTAGTTATTTGAAATTGAATACGTACTCCTTCCGTCCCTCCATCCAAAAAAGACAAACCCTGGTTTCCGTGCCCAACGTTTGACCGTCTGTCTTATTTCAAATAATTATGAAAAAAATTAAAAGACAAGTCACGCATAAAATATTAATCATGTTTTATCATCTAACAACAATGAAAATATAAATTACAAAAAAATTTCATATAAGACGGACAGTCAAAGTTGGACACGGAAATCCAGGGTTTGCCTTTTTTTAAAACGGAGGGAGTATATACTTCTTTCGTTCCAAAATAACCATTACTATTTCAACCTCAAGTGCCAAAACTTCTAAAATATCATATTACTATGAACGAAAGATATGTTGTTATATTTGTCATGTAACATATTTTTTTTATATATTACAAGTATTTTAAGAATTTATGATTCGCTGAAGTTCTAACATTATTTGATAGTAGTATATTCATAGAAGTTTAAGTATTGTGAAATGAGTAGCATAATGTATACAGTATACTTAGAAAAATTAAATCTTTTTCAATATTTTGAAATCCTGAAAAATTCAAGTGTGGTGAAACGGAGAAAAATAAAGAGAGAATGAAGCAATGTCCATGATAGCATGGAAAACTTCATATCTTGAACCATACTCCCTCCGTCACAAAAAAAGACAAACCCTGGTTTCCGTGTCCAATGTTTGACCGTTCGTCTTATTTGAAAAAATTATAAAAAAAATTAAAAAGATAAGTCACGCATAAAGTATTAATCATGTTTTATCATCTAAATACAATGAAAATACTAATTATAAAAAAATTTCATATAAGACGGACAGTCAAACGTTGGTACGGGAACCCACGGTTTGCCTTTTTTTTTTTTTTTGAAAGAGGGAGTATGTGTCTTGAAGTAATTAAATCTGAGGCATCTTAGGGCGAATTCTTTAAAGATGATATAAGAGGGATGAAAATAAGGTTATAATAATCATTCAAGATAAAAAAATTAAATGAATTAAATAGTGCTAAAAAGTTGATAAGTTGATTTGAAATTTTTTTTTCTGAGCCATGCCAGCGAAGGAAGTTTTTTTTTTTGTTGGGAAAGTGATTTCATCCCTCGAGGGGATATCCCCTTATTTCGTGCATGCCACCTAAAAAGTTATCAAAAAAATTGAAAAAAAATTGGCAAGATAGATTAATATGAAGTATATTACTTCACAAACATGCAAGTTAAAATTTAACTTCTGCAAGTTTTAACAAAAATAACAAATATAGATGCAAATGTACGATAACTATTTTCAATTTAATTTGTTATTTTTGTTGCAACTTGTAGAAGTTGAATTTGATCTTGCATGTTTGTGGAGTAATATATTTCATATTAATCTATGTTGTCAATTTTTTTTGATAACTATTTAGATGATATATAAACAATGAAGGGATATCTCCTCGAGGGATGAAAATCCATAACCTTTTTTTTTTGTCCATTATCCATTATCTAATAAGTACGTGCCTTTCATGTCCAGATTAACCAATTTAATTGGTCGATCTTATATTTTTTTTCTCTGGTTAAAGTGAGAACTCTTAGATATTTTCTTTCTACCAATTAACATAGGAATTTTTTTATTTGGACCTTTTAGAATTATAATAAAAACTTCTAGTAAAAAAGGTTAAAAAATATCACCAAAAAAAGGAAGTTAGAAAATTTATTACTGTTTCACTTCTTGCTCCCCAGAGTCCTGAATAATTTCGTCATATTCTTCGTCAGAGTCATCCTCCAGGATCTCCTGTTGTTTCAATTTCCTTTGTTCTTCATGTGTCAGGCTACTCTTATCTTCGTTGAAATCAAACATCTGCCTCACGCATTGTAAAGTGATGCTCATGCATCTGTCATGCAGACCTGAGTCGATCATGAACGCCAACTCTTCAGCCCTTCTGTCGTATTTCTCAGGATCAGCACCACCAATTTTTACGGAGATCTCTTTGAGGCCATATAAGTACTGAATGCCAACTGGTATCGTACTTTCTTGATCAACTCCATCGACATTATAACCAAGCTTGAGCTTATAGAGACTATGCATTGCACCCATATCAAATTTCAACCAAGCTACACAGCAATTGATCTTTAAGTACTTGAGAGCCTTGAATCCTATACCGCCAAAGAAAATAATTTCTGTAGGCTTGGTGTGGACATGTAGCGAGAGATCAGTGAGAGCACGCAATCCCATGAGAACATCAATATCATTTCTCACTAGTTCCCTTACCCCAATCTTCAAAATACGGAGCTTGCTGAGTAGACTGATCCACTTCGGGAGGTAGGAGAATATGCAAATTCGTGGCAACAACTCAAGCCTCTCAACAAGTGCCGGGGGAGAGGACATGCTGCTCAAGCCATCACCAGAAATTCTAACGCTAACGTTTGCAGAACTCGCATCAGTAGAATTTACACAAGAGGAGCCTGCAGTTGACATAGTTACAGACTTGAGGTTGCTGAGTTTTTGAAGAATGAAACCCAGGCACTGCAATTTAATCTCCAGACTGTTAGGTCGTATGGTGGAACAAGTGAGCTGAAGATTTCGGAGATTGGTCAGCTTGCCAAGGCTAAGCACGTTCTCTACAGAGTTATAGCTGAGATCAAAATACCCAAATGTGTGAAGCGATGTCATGTGGCCAATTCCATTGGCCAAGTTTGTATCAGCAGGAAGACTCAGATGGAGTAAACCCGACAAATGAGTTGTGTCTAATGGAGCTGTACTTATTCTTGCATCTATCTTAAGTGTTTCCAAACATTGCAGGCCTCTTGTCTTGGTTTGCAGTTCTAAAGTAACATCAGATGTGATCTTTAAATATTTCAGTCGAAAAAGCTGTGAAATTATAGTGAGGTCAAAACTGATAATATCCTCATCATGCCAAAAATGAAGGATAAGAACTTGGAGAAGTGGGAATTGATCTTTGATTGAACGCCACCAATACTTGTAGGCCCCAAAGAAGGCAAGTGTTCGAACTTGTGAAAGTCTCATATTTATTGGTAACTTTGCATCTTTAACATTACCAAAGTGAAGAGACAATCGACGAACCTTGTCAGAAAGTTTGGTAGCTGTCTGAGAATGATGTATTACAGTGACGAAGTTCTCTTCTATAGACTTGTAACTAATAAAATTGAGTACCATATGTTGAATAACGAAGGACATAACGTCACCATTGCCATCAATATGTACTGGTTGGATCATTTTACTACTGACAAGCTCACCAAAACAGGCCTCTGAAATTTCTTCCTTAGTGTGATCTTTTGTTGCACAGATAAGCCCTTCAGCCAACCATTGATTCACCAAATCATCCTTACAAATTAAGTAGTCCTCTTGATATATACTAAGATACAGCACACATGGCTTCAAATGCTCAGAAAGATTATTGTAACTAAGGTCCAACACTTGTTTTATCCCCTCCAAGGTAGGGTTTTTCATCAAATTGTAGCCTAAGGATTTGTTTACATAACCCCATTGCTCCATTTTCCTCGACTTCTCTAGAATACTGGTAATAGATACAATAGCTAGTGGCAAACTACCACATTTCCTTATAATATCATCTGAAACTTCAGTGGATCCTGGAGAATAAATAAAGCGACTGCCAGAAACTGTATTGAAAAATAAATATCTTGAGTCGTGTTGAGAAAGAGATTTCATCTTGAAAACATACTTGGTGTCATAACCACATGATTGGACTGCTAGATCATCATATTGTGTCGTTGTTAGTACTCTGCTGCTACTTGTACCATCTGGTAAAGCACACTTAATAATATCCCATGTTGATATAAAACATATATCATCAACTATGATCAAGTACCTGTCAAATATTTTTTGTACAATAAATGCATTGTGTCAAACTAGTAATAAATACTCCCTCTGTTTCAGGTTATAAGACTTTCTAGCAAACATGGGCAATGTGTGAAAGTTTTATAATATGAAACGGGGGAAGTACTAAGTAAAAACTAAAGCTAGTATGAACTCATCGCCAAATTTTACAGTGTATTTTTTAATGCACTACTGGAGAAATGATTTTTGCTCGGTGATCCGAAAACTACAATAGTCCCGGTTTGAATAGGAACCAAGACTAAAGAAGATCTTTAGCCCCGGTTCAAAAGCGGCACGACACTTTATAATCTTTAGTCCCGGTTGGTAATCATTTTTAGTCCCAGTTCAAAACGTTGTCAGGTCCTCCCCCACTATCTTTAGTCCCGGTTGTTTATATCAACGGGGACCAAAGATTAAGAAAAAGGCAGACGCACATGCCTCCCCTCCTCCTTTGTAACGTCCCGCCTCTCCCAGGTCGAGCCCGCCGAGCCCACTTACATCTGGCAACTTTTCTTGGACATAGATTGCCTTCACAGACCAACACAAGTCTTTTCTACACACTTTGTCCTCACTCGTGTGCACCCGAGAAGAATTTCCCAGTCGGTCACCCATCCCAAAATTGCTCCAGGCCAAGCACACCCATCCCAAAATTAATTGCTCCAAGCCAAGCACGCTTAACCTCAGAGTTCTCTGGAGATCGGCTTCCGGAAAAAAAGTTGTAACTTGTTGGTATGAGTATTCTATTAATCCTATTAAGCCCTAGGCTAGAATGTCACAGAAGGCCTGATGAACCGTTGGTGTCTGCGGGGCTTGTATACCTGAGGTATCGTCGGTGTACAGTGAAGGGCGGTGAACGGCTAAGGGACACCAATTTGTGAAGGGGCAATGAACGGCTGAGAGTCCCCAATGTGTGAAGGAGGAGATTGTTGAATAGTCCCACATTGGTTGTGAAAGAGTAAAAGACCTAATATACAAGTGAGGGAGCTCCTTACCTTATTAGCTAGCTTTAGGGTGGGAAATGCCTTTTACGATCCTATAGTATCCCTTTTGAGAGATTTGTTTTTTGTTGACCGGAACATCTGGACACAAGCTAGAAATCCTAGCCATTTGACTTAGAAGTTTAGTGTGGAAATGCAAAATACCTAATATATAAGTGGGGGAGCTCCTCAACTCATTAGCTAGCTTTTGAGATGGGAAAGACCATTAACGATCCAACAGTATCCCCTTTGAGAGATTTGTTTTCTGTTGATCGGAACATCTGGACACAAAGATAGAAATCCTGGCTATTTGACTAGAAGTTCTGCCTGGCCATGTACTGATCTACTGCGAAGAAGTCTTAAGCAACACATATTCCTTCCCATTAGGCAACATCAAGATCCTTTCACCTAGATTTTTATAAATTTGGTATTCCAATTCATTTAGTTATTCGGAAATCCTTCCAAATCCTTTTCTCTTAATTCCCCACACATAAACTGGATTGAAATAATAATTTGAATGCACAAAACATTTAAAATCAGATTTCCTTCCATGAATTCCCCAAATTCTCTAAATTCAAATGGAAAATTTCAATTCAAATTCCTCCCAAAATCAGAAATCTAACTAAAGATCACCACTCCGGGACTAAAGATCATGTAGATCTTTACTCTTAATTGGTATTACCAACTGGAACTAAAATTTAACGCGTAGTATATAATCCCTAGCAATTATCCTCTCCTCCACAATCGCAACCACTTCCTCACATAGATTGATCCTCCCCTTCATCCTCCCCTCCCCTCTCCTACATAGATCTTACACAGATCTCCTCCCCCTCCTCCCCTTCCTCCTCTCCTCCCCTCTCCTATCCCCCCTTTCCTCCCGGCGGCGGTGGGCAGGCGACCGGCGGCCGGCGGGGCCGCAGGCGGTGGCTGCGGCAGACGGCGGCAGGGCGGCGGCAGGCAGGGTCGCCCACTGCGGCGGCGGGCAGGCGGTTGGCGGGTGGTGGCGGGCAGGTGGCCTGTGGCCAGCGGGGCCGCAGGCGGCGGCAGCCGACAGCCAACGTTGTTTTCTTTTCTTTTCTTTTTTTGATAATTTGTGATTCACTGAGATGTATAATTTTGTGATTCATTGTATGGATCTAAGATGTATAATCTGTGATGTATTTGATTTGTGTGTAATTTTTTTAGGATTTGTGATGTATTTGATTTGTGTGTATAAGTAACTTTAAGATTTGGGATGTTACTTTGATTTGGGGATTTGGGGTTTGATTTGGGATATGCATGCCACTCGATTTGGGAGAAAATAAAAAAGAAAAAAAAAGAAAAGGAAACCATCTGGACTGCCGCTACCCTCTCTTTAGTCCCGGTTGGTAACACTAACGGGGATTAAAGATCCCTCTCTACCAACCAGGACTAAAGATCCCTCTCTTTAGTCCCGGTTTTTGTTACCAATTGGGATTAAAGATGGATTTTAGTCCCGGTTATTTCAACCGGGACATCTTTAGTCCCAGATTCCTACTCCCAGTTGGAAACCCGGGACTAAAGGGGGTTACCAACCGGGAGTAAAAAAGATTTCTTCGCCAGTGTGCTAAAGATGAGCATCTTTAGTCCCGGATTTCTACTCCCGGTTGGAAACCCGGGACTAAAGGGGGTTACCAACCAGGAGTAAAAAAGATTTCTTCACCAGTATGCTAAAGATGGGCATCTTTAGTCCCGGATTCCTACTCCCGGTTGGAACCCTGGACTAAAGGGGGTTACCAACCCGGAGTAAAAAAGTTTTCTCCACCAACCGGGACTAGATGGCATATGTGCTAAGTTCATAGTATTGCAAATTTGTGTGTGTGTGTAAGTAATGGCAACATGGACTTCATGAACTCGATTGCATGTTAATTCATTTGTTTGCACAGTTGTAAAAAAATAGAAAATAGCTGACAACAGAAATGGTAAATGTTTCAAAAAATTATGGAATTATTATTTGTTTTGTTTGTGATTTGCTTTATTATCAAAAAAAACTTTAAGTATGACTTATCATTTTTTATATTTGCACTAATTTTTCAAATAAGTCGAATGGTTAAACGTTGCACGAAAAAAATCAAAGCGACCACTAATTTAGAACGGAGGTTGTACCTCTTATCCTGCAGATGCGCCCTAATACTGGAAATTAGGCTATGAACCTTCCAACTTTCAGGTGGCTGCTGCAAGCGCAGCTGTGAGAGGATGCTGATGAGAATCCTCCTTACATCAGGCTTCTGGGAGGAACGCACAAATGCCCAGCATTCGAACTGCCGCCGAAGCTTGCGGTACAGCTCGTTGGCGAGCGTGGTCTTGCCTATTCCTCCGACTCCTACAATGGACACCACCCTCAGCCTCTTCTGATCTTCATCATCACACGCAGTGAGCCAGTCTTCGAGCTTGTTCATGGCGACGTTGATACCGACATGAGGGACGCAGAAGTCGCGTTCCCTGAACCGCGTGGTGTGCCAACATATGGTAGAAGAAGAAGACGATGCGTCACCTGTAGCGGCAGTAGAGGAAGAAGCAGTACTGGTGGCTATGCCATTGCCACCGACGCTGCTGCAGAACATGGCATGGCGTTTGAGCGCGTCCTGGGCACGTAGGCTGAATTCTCTGATCTTGTTAGCCATCCATAACCGCTGCTTCAGCCTCTCTGGAATCCAGAGAGGAGTCGTACGCTGCCACCGCCGCCTGGTGATCTTACGGCGAGGAGGAATCCCGCCGCTGGCGGTTCGACCGCCCGCTGAACCGGCGGTGGCAGCGTGCTCGTAGTGGTCGATGCAGTCCTCGATGTCGTAGGACAGCTCGCGCACCTCCTTCGTCCAGCACCTCCTCCTCGCCACCGTCGTCGCCGTGGCATCCTCCAGCTCCGGCGACTCGCTGTAATAGCCATTGAGTATGGAGATCATAAGATGGAGATCTCGCTTGATGAGCGGTATCTCCTCCTCGGCACCCTTGGGAAGAATGCTGCCATGGCGAAGGAGGACCCCGTCGAGCCTCCCGGGGAGGTTCAACACGGCGCCCCACAAACCACAGGTCGGAGCCTCCATAGCTTATATTTTCTCTGAAGTTAGACAGATTATAAGTGCATATGTGTTAATCACTGCAGGAATACCAAGTGATTTACTAACAGATGCTGTATGAACTAATCAGAGGAAACACGACAGTTACAACTGAAGTTGGATGGCTTCTGATCACAATAGCATCAACGATTGAGGCGGCCGCAGGACATACACTGGTGCAAACGACAGGCCAGTTCATTTTGGTCCTTTTCAATTCGCTCGATCTTTAGCTTCTTGCGGACTACTGTTTCACGGCAGCGTCACGGGACCAGATGCCTTTCTTCGGAATAAACGATGAATACAAAACTGGTTAAGTGCTTGCTGACTAGACGAGCACTTTTTAGTTAGAATTATACTCTCTCCATCTCTAAATATTTGACGCTGTTGACTTTTTTAAACATATTTAACCATTCGTCTTATTCAAAAAATTTAAATAATTTTTAGTTCTTTTCCTATCGTTTGATTCATTCTTAAATATATTTTTATGTATACATATAGTTTTACATATTTCACAAAAGTTTTTGAATAAGACGAATGGTCAAACATGTGTTAAAAAGTCAACGGCGTCAAATATTTAGGGACGGATGGACTATATCTTTCTCAAAAAAAAAAGGTTGGCATTATATGCCGACGATTTCATGCTGACTAGATAACTTTAACGTATGCATACACTAGTCTTTTTTTTAAGAGACCAATTGGAAACACATGAATTTTATAGGATTTTCTTGATAATACTGTAGGAATAGATCCATTCTCGCAGGAATCATATTTGCTTAATGCTGCCTAATTGCGTGTAGACAATCGTGCAATCATGCATTAGGCTTATTAACAATGACAAACATGGCGCGCACACATATAATTAACCATATCATATTTGCGAAAGAAATCACGCATTCTTTGTGACAATCTTACATGCATGATCAATAGTAGAGGCAGTAATTAACTATAAAGTCCTGCATATCCATATCACCTATATATTCTTGTAGAGATAACTATTTTATTAGAGAGATCAGATAGCTATAAGATTGGTTGCAAGAAAGGTGTACCTTTACCTAGTTCTACCTCTAGCTATTCAGATAATTTTCCTTCAAGTGCGCATAAAGCTGCCTTTTGCAGGAGGGGTCTAGCTAGCCTCTTATTTATCCTGATCTTTTCTCCCTCTTACATATTTGCAAAAAGAAAAAAGAAAAAATAAAAAAATAAGCCTCTTATTTATCCTCTTTTCCCCCTCTTACATATCTATTATATACTAAAAGTTCATTAATTTTCCTATAAACACTCGTAAGCTGCCATGTGACACTCCTACAAGCACTTCTAGGTTGCTACGTAACATGTTATAATCTCACCGTCGATTTTCATTTAAGTTGGTGCACCCGTTATCTTAGACCGTTAGATTTGATCAATTTAAAAAGATTATATACTTCGTGTGAATACATAGAATCCGTTAAGAAAATGTGATTTTTGCTTGAATATAAGAAACATTCTTATTGTTTATTAAAGTCTACGGTCTATTTCATGACAAAGATTTTTTTTCAATTATAAGGTGAAATCTATAACTTATTATATGCATACAGTGAGATATGACTTAATTATATTAACATTATTTCTATAAATAATAAATAAGGTGCCCACGCATCTGCGTAGGCTCCCTTTCTAGTTTGCAAAAAAAATAAAAAAACAACAACATAAGCAAACTTATATCCTATCATTGTGCTACTCTTAAGGGAGGATGGAGCTGCCTTTCTTCCCTAGCTACCACTACGTACCATGCCCATTTGCTGGTTCATGGTATACTAATCAAGGTTATCATAAGTTAAGGTAGTGGATTGAGCGCTGGAGGTAGAGCTCATATCGATCGAGAATACATGGAGTCTGCCGTGGCGAGCGCATTGCTGAAGAGCGTCATGGGGAGGCTCTTCACGGTGCTAGAGAAGGAGTACAGCAAGCACAGGGAGCTGGCTCAAGAAACCAACTCCCTCCAGCAGGACCTCCGCATCGTTGCGGCGGCCATGGACGACCAGCTCCTTTCCATCAGGAGGAGCGACGCCCGCACGGCCGTCGCGCGGCTGCACAGCAAGGAGATGCTCGATCTTGCGCATGACATCGAGGACTACGTCGACCGCTTCATCCACCATCTCACTTGCAGGCAGCAGTGTGCTAGTGCCGGCCGGAACTCCCTTCTGGACCGGGTCGCCCACGAGCTCAAGAAGGTTCAGAGCCGCTCGAGCTTCGCCAACGAGATCCAGAAGCTCAAGAGGCCCCTCAGGCAAGTGCACCAGGATGTCATCAAGAACAATCCACTGGCTGGTGGTCAATCATCTTCCCCGTCTCCGCAAGATCGTCGCATCGCGGATAACCCGGTGGGCATAGAGGAGCCCGTGGAGGAGCTCCTCTCGCTGCTGGATGAGGTTGAGGGTGAGCCGGAGCGAATGAGGGTCATCTCCATCGTGGGATTCGGTGGATTGGGGAAGACAACCCTCGCCAAGGCGGTCTATGATAGCCCTCGCGTGAAGGAGAAATTCCACCTCCGTGCATGGGTTCCCGCCGGTGCCTCTCCGGAGACAAGCAGTGGGATGAGGGGGATCTTGCGTGCTGTGATACAGAAAATTCTTCCCAATGTTGCCATGGATGTTGACGGCCAACTTGAAACCTCGCTCAAAGAATACCTCAAGGACAAGAGGTGGGTGCACATTTTTCATTTTCCAGATCTGAATACCTCAATGATCCCTTTTCTATTACCTAGCACTCCAATCCAAATGATTGCTAACTAATATTTACTCCCTCCATCCAAATATAAGCACTTGTGGGTCTTTTTAGAGAGATTAGGGATGGGGAGAATAGACTACACTGCCCTATATTTCTAGACAAATTTCTAATGCTAAGAGTCTTTATATTTTGTTTATGGAGAGAGTAGTCGCTGAGTTGTGCGCTCTATCGAATGTTATTACTATATTATAATTATTAAAAGTTCATATGTTTAATATGGATTGTAGAGGCTGGGTAAAAAAATACCCTTCACTAAAAAAATATGTTTGATATGGATGCCATTTTCTGAATGGTTTATAGTTACAAAGAATAGAGTAGACCATTTACAGCTTTCAAATTATTTATTTTTAAATTTAAAATTAGATTAATAAAATACTAAATGGAGAGCCTAAGATTAATACAGTTTTTATATTTGTTCATTCCATATTTTAGAATTACTAATTTCATAATAACTAAACATAAACAGTACATAGTGTTTCAAGTTTTATTTAATATGTATAAGGGAAAGGATACATGCGCATAGAAAGTATTTTACAAGTGTTCAAAAGATACTGATGTATCATGCTATGATTAGATCTTGATTTTTTAAAAAATTTTCAACTAATGGAATTAAACGGTTGAGATGCTTGTTAGTAGGAACTTTGTAACAAATTGTGATAATGAGATCCATGACATCAATGTTGCTTCTATAATTTCTCAATTCCGTTATTAGGTATTAATTGTGATCGATGACATCGGGATGGATCAATGGAGCATCATAAGTTCCACCTTTAAGGACAACGGTACAAGCAGCAGAATAATACTGACCACAACTATTCAATCAATAGCTAATAGCTGCAGCCATGGCAATGGTTATGTGCACCAAATGAACACGCTTGGTGAAGAGGACTGCAAGGAAATAGCCTTACCAACTGGGATAAGATCACCTGAGTTGGAGACTGGTTCAGTACCATTATTAGGCAAATGTGATGGCCTTCCTCTTGCTCTGGTCAGTGTATCTGATTATCTGAAGAGTTCGTGTGAGCCCACAGGAGAGCTGTGTGCAAACCTGTGCCGCAACCTCGGTGCTCATCTGAAAGAGCAGGATGGCCATCCCAGCTTTTCAGAACTCAGGAAGGTGCTTCTTGACAACTATGACAGTTTATCCGGCTATGCTCTCAGCTGCTTGCTGTATCTTGGTATATTCCCAAGCAATCGTCCTCTGAAAAAGAAAGTTGTAATCAGACGGTGGTTGGCTGAAGGATATGCAAGAAGTGATTCTCTTCGCAACGAAGAGGACATTGCAGTTGAGAATTTCAATAAGCTTATTGATCGGAATATCATTCTGCCTGTTGACACAAGAAACAATTCAGACGTGAAGACGTGCAAAACTCATGGAATTATGCATGAGTTTTTGCTGAACATGTCCTTGGCCCAGAGATTCATCATGACATTGTCTCGTGATCATCCAAGACTCATCTCCAATGCACGCCACCTTTCTGTCCATGATGGTGAACTGACAGGATACGTGACATCTGATGAAGAATTTTCTCGTGTCCGATCTCTAACTGTATTCGGGGATACAAGTGATACAGTCTCTTATGTTCGGAAGTGCAAGCTAATACGAGTATTGGATTTACAAGAATGTAATGATTTTGCTGACGATCATCTGAAACACATATGCAAATTATGGCATCTGAAATACCTGAGCTTTGGGTACAATATCAATGTGCTTCCAAGGAGCATTGAAGGACTGCATTGTTTGGAGACACTAGATTTAAGGAGAACCAAGATCAAGTTTTTGCCCATTGAAGCTGTCATGCTGCCCCACTTAGCTCACCTGTTTGGAAAGTTTATGCTGCATAAAGATGACCTGAAGAATGTCAACAAGATGAGTAAACTAAATCCTTGCAAGAAACAAAAAAAAGGGATGAATATACTACCAAAATTCTTCACATCAAAAAAGAGCAACTTGCAAACTCTAGCAGGTTTTATCACTGGTGAGAACGAAGGATTTCTGCAACTTATGGGTCATATGAAAAAACTGAGAAAGGTTAAGATATGGTGCAAGCATGTTGCAGGTAGCAGTAATTATATAGCTGATCTTTCACAGGCCATTCAGGAATTCACCAAGGTTCCTATTGACAGTGACAGTAACCGTTCTCTCTCACTTGATTCTGAAGAATGCTCTGAAAATTTCCTGAGCGCACTTCACTTGGAGCCATGCTCAGAAGATTTCAAATACCATCTAAGGTCACTAAAGCTGCAAGGCAGGTTCCTCCGATTGCCTCCATTTGTTACCTCGCTGTCAGGCCTCACGGAGCTTTTCATTTCATCAGCTACGCTGACACAAGATCATCTATCAGCACTGATCACTCTGAACAGACTTCTCTACCTCAAACTGATTTCAGACAAGCTTGAGAATTTTGAAATGAAACATGGGGCATTCCCGAGCCTGCGACGCCTGTGCTTTGTGGTTAAAAGTGTCACTTCAGATTTGCCAACAATCAAGCAAGGAGCTCTGCCAAACCTTGTCTCACTTCATCTGCTCTGTCGAGGTTTAGTCGGACTATCCGGCATCGAGATCAGACACCTGAAACATCTCAAGGAAGTCGTGATTGACTCTGACGTGACTCCACAAACAAAGCAAGACTGGGCACACGCAGCAAAAAACCACCCGAATAGACCTAAATTTTCATGGCCTCGAAAGGTTGATTTAGTGGAAAGCGAGGAACCGGCAAAACATCTTAAGACAGAGAAGAGGAAATATTGTTCAAATTATGAACTGGATTATAATCTTCAGGAGATGAGACTATCAGAGAGTAGAGACCATAAGAGGCAGAAAATTGGAGAAGGTGATACTAGCAAAAGTTCTGTGGGTCTTGTATATCCTATGTATGGAGATGTTGAAACTGATAGAACACAAGTTCACTTATTTAACCAAGAGACAAGAAGGTACGATCGGACTGAAGTTGATCAGAAGTGTCCTGAAATGTTGCAGGAATACAAAGATAAACACTCCATGGTGGTGGATGTTGATTTGAGATCAGATGAACAAGTCAATCCTCCCCATCCCAAGTTGAAGAATCTGATGCCTGGGAAGGAATATGATCGACAGGAGCTGATACCAACAGAGGGAGCAAAAGTGGGCCAATGCCAATCAGGTGGTGATGAAGATCAAATTGTTCATAACACTAATGGCAAGAAGGTTGTTGTGCAAGCCAATCATTTCTTTGAACAAGAGGACCAGGGCTCTCAAGTAACAATGTCATATGAATCAAGTTCTCTCTTGTCACACATGGATACTAAATCGTTGTGAAAGGTGCAAACAACTGTCAGAGTGTTAAATAGCAGTCTTTTTAATGCTTAAGTGGCATGCTCTTTCGCCACAACAAGATATTGCTTCCTTTGATGACTGGTGGGCAAGTGCAGAAATTAGGGTGGATGATCAGGTTAGAAAAGGGTTTAATTCTACTGTTGTCTTGGGAGCCTAGACGTTATGAAAACATCGCAATCGCTGTGTCTTCGACGGTACCTCTGCCAACATGGCTGAAGCCTTGCTGCTTGCTAGAGAAGAATTGTATGACTGGGGTTTGGCCAGGGCTAAGGGCATTCTTGCCCATGCCGAACGGTGAATAATGTAATGTTTATGTGTGTGTTGTTAGGGTTCTTACCCTCTTAATTTTTATTATAATATAATGATACGCAACTCTCCTACATGTTCGAGAAAAAAAATGCTTTGTTATTTGAGGTGTAAAATTGACCTGTTTGTAGAGCTAAATCTACCATGTTTGTAAAATAAAATGGTGCTGGTACATTGGGAATTTAGGATGATTATTTTTCTTAATGAACTGGTACTTGGATTGTGTCAATTTCATTGAATATCGCAGGGAAAAAATATACAATATATCCCTAAACAGGTAAAGAGAAAATGAGAGCTCTAAGACAGTAGCCACTATGTTACACAGTCCTTTCGCTCCTGCCATGGCTCAAGTTTTGGCCTCCTCATTTATCCTTGCGATTAGGCTTGTTGCCGAGAGTGTTACACAAAACATAGGTCCATGAAATCCCTTCAATTTTACGAAACCAAACAAACGAAGAGTTGTAAATTTTCTTAATAAAATATAGTTTGCAGTTGGCCTGCCGATTTAATTAGTGTTTCTTTTTATAAAAATAAGAATCTAACAGAGCTTCGTTTTCTTTAAGATGCGACAAATCAATAGGGCAACACCGCTAAGTAATTCGGTAATTCCCATTCCGCGAGGAGGAGGAGGATGAGGAGAACTCACCGTGCGTGGCTCCTTTGAATAAGGCGGTGCCGGCGCGATGTAGCGCGGACGAGGGTTGCCGTCGAGGGGCCGGCTTCTCGTAGGTTTGACGGAGAGATTCTGCCAGGCTAGGCCAGAGATTAGCCCAAATCTGACTACAATGGCCCAGTCGCTCTATGGCCCAAATGCCTCTTTGGGGTTCGGAGATTCTCCGAACCCCTCCGACCATTGCGCACTTGCGCTTCACCGGTGTTATCTTCAAATCATCATGATGATATGTGAAACATATTTTGAGTCCCAACAATGCAAAGAATAGCATCAACGAACTGGTTTTCTAAATCTGTCACTGACGCTTGGGCCAAGCTTCTTTGGCAGGAGCATACTGTAGTTATGTAAGTACTGCCTACGTCTTAAAAGAACTCAACTTAAGTGGAGATGTGAATCCTCATAGTACAACGAATCTGGACAACCCTCTATCCAGATTTATTGTATTAGGAGAGATTACATTCCCTCCTAGATCAAGGCTATGTTTAGATCTAAGGATGATAAGTTTTCGCGTGTCACATCGGATATACGAACACCACATTTGAAGTATTAAACGTAGGCTAATAAAAAAACTAATTACAGAATCCGTCACTAAACCACGAGACGAATTAATTAAACTTAAGTAATCCATCATTAGCAAACATTGTCAAATAATAAAGCAATTAGGCTTAAAAGATTCGTCTAGCATTTTACACGCAATCTGTATAATTAATTATTTTTTCATTTATATTTAACACTCCATACATGTATCAAAATATTCGATGTGTGACAACATGAAAAAATTTAACAGGGGATCTAAACAGGCCCTAAGTTATTTTGGGATGGAAAAAGTACTATGTAGGGTGCTTCTAGAAGCTCCTTCCCATCGTTTTGCCTCTTCCTTCTAACCCCCTTTCCTTGCAAGCTTTGTTTGTTTGAGAAAAGAAAATATTTTTTTTTTCAAAAGAGTTGTATGTACAGCTCAAATGCATGCGTTGGTTCTAACTTGAATTAATTTAGGAACCAAGATACTCTATTCGTCTCAAAATATATGTTTATTTTTTTTTTCTAAAATATAGATACCTATAACTATAAAATTAAAGTGATTTTGAATCATATTATTTTTTTAAGATCCATGCCCCAACCTAACTATGTATTCATAGTATCTCCCTACACCCTACTATACAATACTTATTCCCCCCCCCCCTCCCTTGTAGCTCGGAATTCATGATCGTCGCAAACAATGAATGTGCATGGTTGAAGGCCCAACAGACATGACCTGGAGTCAACTAATTAAAGGGGACTCCACGTACTACACCTATTGATGGCGTACCCATGGATGACGTAACAACGGATGACGTATGCCAATTAATCGATGATACTCCCTCGGTCTCATTTTAATTGCAACTATGAGTTTTCGTGCTCAATTTTAATCGTCTATCTTGTTTAAAAAATATAATTAGTATATTTGTTGTTATGAGATGATAAAACATGAATATATAATACTTTATGCGTGACTTATGTTTTTAAATTTTTTAAAAAAAATATTTAAATAAGACGGATGATTTAAGTTGAGCACGAAAAAGTATGACTACACTTGTAATGGGACGGGGGAGTAATTAATTATCTAACGGTCTTGAACCCTTGCATACGAACCAGGATTAATTTTAATCGTCCGTACACACAAGGCCATCAATTCTCTCACCGCGTTCGGCGTAAGTGTGCAATCAAGATTACTACCTACCCTCGTCAGAAAATTCAATCCTTGTACAGCGTTTCATCCTTTTCAGGCAACCAAGTAATTAAGGCCACCTTGATTAGTAAGAAAAACATAGGAGAGTGGAGGACTTTTCAAAAGGAAAATTTTGAAAACGAAGAATTTTAATCCTGTTATAAAAAGAATTCCTAGAAAGACCTTTGAAGCAAACGATTAAATCTTATCTTTGTCTTTGAAATTTCTGTGAAATGGTAATTTTTTATAAAGATTTTGAAAGAAAATTAGCAAAAGTTTCAACATCTTAAAATATTTCCTTCGAGTCTATATCTCTTATTCAACTCATGTGTTATTTGAACGGTCTATTGAAACTATTATTCTTATACTTTTAGTGTGTTTTCAAGACCAATTCATATCAACAACATGGTTTTTTATTCCTCGGTTTTTTCAAGCATAAGTTTCGAAGGAGAGACTTTTTTTTAGCTTATTAATATATCACCAGCCAAGTACTCCCTCCATTTTCATTTATATGACATTTTAGATTATATATATATTTGGAGATAAATTCAGAAAAGAGCTAGTATATGTCGTCGAATGATGACGAGGACCCGGCCGGTAAGGAACAACCCGTTAAGTTTCCTCTCTTTTGCTGTTACCGTGTGTACGTACATGGTGTGCGTGTACGTTCATGTTGTGACACGCTATATATTTTTCTTGTTCATATTCAACGCATCATGCATGCTCGTGTGCTGCTTTTGCCAAAATTAATTTGCAACACTTGTGACAAACAAAATTTGATTCCACACAAACTGTGACATGTCTGAAGATGTTTGCCAAAGCGATATGTTTATCGAACCAAACTGTGGCATGTACTTAATTTTAGATAATTATTATAATGTTGATTTGATTTGACTAATAATTAAGGCCATGTTTAGATTCAAAATTTTTTCTTCAACCTTCCAATTTTTCTGTCATATCAAATGTTTGAACATATGCATGGAGCATTAAATATGGACAAAAAAAAACCAATTGCATAGTTTGCATGTAAATCACGAGACGAATATTTTAAGCCTAATTACGCCATGATTTGACAATGTGGTGCTACAGTAAACATTTGCTAATGATGGATTAATTAGGCTTAATAGATTCGTCTAGCAGTTTACATGCGTAATCTGTAATTTATTTTGTTATTAGTTTACGTTTAATACTTTAAATGTGTTTCCGTATACTTAAAAAATTTTAGCACACGAACTATACACAGCCTAAGTTACCAAATGGATGTGCTAGCTAGCTATGTCCTAGATCCAACATTAATTGCTGACCTTGTGTATACTTTTTTTTTGAAAGGAGACCTTGTGTATACTTGAAGTCGTCTAATACGTGTTGATATTATTATCAAGAACATACTTGCAAGAGATCAAAATATATGCATATAATTTAAGTAATCATTTCTCCTAGATTTGCATTGACTTACTAGTTAAGTCGTGGTCTATTTGAGCCTATATATTGGCATTCAATCAAAAGCTTGTCTTGGAGATTCATTTGCATCAGCCGAAGGCAAGAATCACACAAGACTCGGTTGGACGATTTGCAGCAAATAGTAGCATGGGGCAACTCCATAATTTGATGCTTCTGCTGCCGTGCCTGATCTTCTCTACGCTACTGCGCACAGAGGTTAATTTTAACTGCTAACTCCTCTGTTTTAAGTCTGTTTCTTAATTTAACTAGTGCTATACATATGCCCCGTGCTTTGCAACGGGATTAGGAGGAATACGCGACGAACGTTTTTTTGGTTTTATGGAGTTGGATTTTGTGTTTCCGTTTTTTCTGAATGGTGAGGGAGGAGCAGGAAGTATCCATTTTTACAGTAGTAAAGAAATTCGCAACGTACTACTGCTCCAGTTTTCCTTTGAAGACAAAATATTTTGTCAACTTGTACAATGATTTAAATCACTTAACCGATAGAATGGTAAGAGAAATGACCTGTGGAAAAACAGAGGATTAATTGTATATTTATCGGATTCTTATTTGTAAATGTTTGAGAAAAACCAGCCAGAGTGCTACTCACCTAAGTACCCAAAAATTTAACATCTTGAATAATTCCAACAACAATAGTATAATTTTAACCACCAATATTTCACACATATGCATATGAAATTCTGAATGCAGGCGATGAGTGTAGCTCCAGTGAAAGTGAGCACCACACCCATCTTCCCCACAATCCCAAGAGGTCAGACGAACAAGGACTTCCAGGTGCTACTGCGCGTCGAGGCGCCGCCGGCGGCCGATCTCAACAGCCATGTCCCCTTAGACGTAGTCGCGGTGCTTGATGTCAGCGGCAGCATGAATGATCCGGTGGCGGCGGCGTCGCCGAAGAGCAATCTGCAGGGGTCGAGGTTGGATGTGCTCAAGGCGTCCATGAAGTTTGTCATCAGGAAGCTTGCTGATGGTGATCGCCTCTCCATCGTGGCGTTTAACGATGGACCCGTCAAGGAATATAGCTCCGGCTTGTTGGATGTTTCCGGCGATGGCCGGAGCATCGCCGGAAAAAAGATTGACCGGCTTCAGGCCCGTGGTGGCACTGCGCTTATGCCAGCCCTGGAGGAGGCCGTCAAGGTATGTACGATTATTTGCAAGTTTGGCAAAATATTACCTTCTCCAGCCATTAAAACATGTTGTTTGCGCATACTTCAGGTCAAACTTCTAAAATTTGAAAATCGATACCTTCATAATATTTTGGTTGGAGGCAAAACTGGCTAGTATATGTGTAGACTTTTCTATAAAATTGTCACAATAATATTTTTTTTTCAAATATTATGTAATACTCCTCCGTGCTAGAATACCATATAGTATGCTAGCTTGATTATATTATGTGATAGAGGGAGTAGTAATCATTTTTTTTAACATCAGATAGACCCACGCGTCATTATATTATTATAGTAGACACCAGTGGTTACGTTATATCTTGACAAACATGTCAATATCAAAGAAGAGACAATTGTTTTGACCATAAGAAGTACTTAAAATTTCATTTTTTTAGGCTTAAAAATATGCTATTCTAATGGAGTTATGATTATAGTGTATTTTCCCTTTAAATAGAAAATTAAGGATTTACCCTCCTATAGACCAATGACATGTAAAGATCACTAAGGACGGTAAATCCTTACTTTCATGATCAAATTTTATAGGTAGAGTGCGCTATACGTCGTGTTTAGTTCCAAAGGTTTTCTTTAAACTTTAAATTTTTCCATCACATCAAACTTTTCTACACTTATAAACTTCCAATTTTTCCGTCACATCGTTTCAATTTCAACCAAATTTTTAATTTTGGTGTGAAAAACACAGCCATAGTAGAGTACTTATATATCCAACGGAAGCCGAATTAATTATACAAATCTGAACTCTGACCTAATCACAGATCCTTGATGAGCGGCAAGGCAGCAGCCGGAACCACGTAGGGTTCATCCTCCTCCTCACCGACGGCGACGACACGACCGGATTCCGGTGGACCCGCGACGCCATCCATGGCGCCGTCTTCAAGTACCCCGTCCACACCTTCGGCCTGGGCGCGTCCCACGACCCGGAGGCGCTGCTCCACATCGCGCAAGGATCGCGCGGCACCTACTCCTTCGTCGACGACGACAACCTCGCCAACATCGCCGGCGCCCTCGCCGTGTGCCTTGGCGGGCTCAAGACCGTCGCCGCCGTCGACACGCGCGTCAGCCTCAAGGCCGCCGAGCTAAGCGGCGGCGGCGCGCGGATAGTGCGCGTAGACTCCGGCGGCTACGAGAGCAGCGTTGCTTGCGGCGGGGCCTCCGGTGAGGTCGTCGTCGGCGTGCTCTACACCGGCGAGGTGAAGAACTTCGTCGTCCACCTCCACGTGCCGGCTGCTTCGTCGACGACCTTGACCTTCTCGTCGGTGGAGTGCGGCGGCTACTACGACGCCGCCACGGTCTGCGACCACTGCCATCACCGTCACCAGCAGCAGCTGCTCGCCGTCGGCTACTCGTACAGCCACGCTCCGGGCGCCGCCTCTGCAGCGGTGTCCGTCGAAGGGCACGGCGTGTTCGTCGAGAGGCCCGAGGTGGCGGCCGTCTTCGTCTCCGTCGACGGCGTCGGCGTCGGCGGCGGCCGACAGCGACAAATCCCCCTCCCCTCCCCCGTCGTGATGCAGCACATGGTCCGGTTCGAGCTGCTGGAGCTCGTCGCCGGCTTCGCGGAAGCCGAGATGGCGTCGAAGCCGGCGGCGACGACGACGCAGCCGCGCGCCGCCGACGTGCTGCAGGGCAAGTGGGAGGAGTTCCGGCGAGCCCGGCAGTTCTGGGGCGGCGTCGAGCTGGACGGCGTGGAGAAGGAGGTGGACGCCATGGTGGCCAGCCTCAGGAGCGGGCTAGCCTACGTCAGCTCGTGGGTGTCGAGCCACCAGATGCAGCGCGCCACCGCCATGGGCTCGCCGGAGAAGGTGGTGGCCGAGTTCATGACTCCGGCGATGGTGATCATTGTGGAGGAGGCGCGGAAGCTACCGCCACCACCGCCGCCGCCGCCGGCAGCTGCTGAGGCGGCGAGAGAGAGGCCCAGCGGCTGCGATGGCGGCGACGATATCCATCACGTGATCCGGCAGCGGCTTGAGCTGTGGTCAAAGGTGAGACGCGAGGTGCCGCTCATGTACCAGCCGTCGCCGGAGCAGGAAGACGTCCAGCTGACCGCCGTGTTCCGGGAGGCGTCGCTGGAGGCCATCGACCGAGCAATGCACCACGACATCTACCTGGTGCGTACATTTACACGTTACTACTATCTTTTTCGTCGCAGAATATATAAATCTAATACGATGAATCTAGACAAACAAACATTAACCTTTTTTTTTAACTTTCTCGTGGACGTGTCACAAAATTTATGTTTTAGACTTTTCAAAGTTAATCAAGTATAAGTTTGACAACTTAATTTTATTCACATAAATAAAAAATAGTTGTATGTATACAAGTGTAATATTATGAAAGTTTATGTTAATTATAATAAACTAGGAAGGTGGCCCGCGCATATGCGCGGGCACTTTACTAAATTAGTATTGATTAAATTTGTATTATGAATCCTTATTATGTGGAAGTGACTTTTTTTTAAAGGAAATAGTCTGAATTACACCCTTAAACTATAATAACAGTGCGAATTGTTCCGGTTATATCTAAACTCGTCTATCACCATCGTTCGCTAACATATGAGTTAATATATTTTTTGTTTTGTTTTTTCTTTTATTATATATTTGATTCACCTATGCATGTTCATGGGTAATATACGATGGAATAATCTATAATGTTAATAATTAGCATATTATTATATAGATGGGAATGATATAATTAAAAAGATATAATGTGGTTACATGCGACATTTTCGGTGCTATATATATATATATATATATATATATATATATATATATATATATATATATATATATGTTTTTCCTGGCAAATACTAATTACATATTTTTTTTCCTCTTTTTTTGGACAAATATTTTTTCTCTTAGGGTAGGTGTGCGTATGCCTATTTCTATGATGGGTGTGCACACGTTTATATATGCGCTCGAGATTGCCTTTAACATTAATAGTAAAAAAATGCTTTCAAGAAAATTGGCGAGATGGCGTGAAGCGGTGCTGTGCAGCATGGCTTCTTCGATAGCCTCGCCAGGAGTGGTCTCTACTCATATGCACAATTTGTGCAAAATCTCATAGCTGCAAAGAAAGAAAGAGAAAACTACTTGATGGGGCTGATCGTATACACACTCTTCTTTTTTTCCTTTATGACATCTCTTCTGTAAGTACATAGTGAGGGATTACTTGAATAGATATAATATAATGATTGAAAATAATATATCCACTGGTTTATGTGTAAATAAACAGCTATATTTTGCTTTTCTTAATATATTTTTTCTTATATGTTCTCTAATTTATTAGAGCGTCATGCGGCATCTTGGAAGTGCAGGAATGCTATTAGTCATAGTCGTAATGGATTACTTGAAGAGATCTAATCTTATGGTTAAAAATAATTTATCCACTAGTTTAAGTGTAAATCAATGGCTAGATGTTTTACTTTTTCTTATAACTTTTGTTAGATCTACCCTTATTTATTAGAGCGTCACGTGGCATCCTAGGAATGTATGTAGGTGTGTGGGAACGCTATTACCCAATAGTTCCAACATATTTATAGTCAACTATAATTTGTTGCGGCTTGCTAGTATCAATACTTATCTATCATCTGTTGATGGTTTCTCACTTAGCATTGTCCATTATCAGTACTTGATAACACAATGCATATTAGATGTCATCTAATCATTAGGTGTATTAAGCACGGATGCCTCATAAGTAATTAATATGACTTGATAATTGGTGGATAGTGTTTTGTATATGAAACTTATACACATAGGAATTAGTAGGGATATATGATTGATATATTTGGCTCTATTCCTGATTGACAAAATATATTATATGCTATATATTTTATAGTAAATTTAAGGTTGAGTTCTAAAATTTTATCGGATTGGCTACTCCCTTTATGGTGAGATGTTCCTGAAATGATGCATGTTTTCAAATACTTTCTATGCAAAGTTTTTTTAAATGATCAAATAATTAAATATTCAAGTTTGTAATATTTAATACTTAATTAATCTTACGCTGACGACATGCTTTTTTTCGCGTGTCCTAGATAAGCTCATCTAATGAGGTAGACCGAATGAAGCCTAAGAGATAAAAAAATACATCCACATGGTGTAAAAAAATATATGATTGTTAATTTTTCAAAAATATATGAATAAAGGAACATATAATATATGAAAATATATTCATGATAATTTAATAATGTCATTTGGGCATATCAATATTATATAGTAGGGAGTGAGTAAATTTTTAGAATGCTGCTCATAATTTAAATTCTTTTTATTTTTTGAAAATATAAGTCCAATTTAAATATGTTCTTAAGAGATATACAATCATATAATCTACAATTTTAATTTATTAATATTTTTAATGGATGTTTTGATGCGATGCGCTATTTAGAATAAAACTTGAAATAGTATATATTTTTACAACTTTAATTTAACATGGTTTTTCATCTAATCTAAGAATATAAGAAGAAAAGAAAAAGAAAAAGACTTACAGGGGATATGTACGTACGTATGTACGTACGTACAAGTCCACGGGGACACCCCGCGGGGGGGGGGGGGGGGTAACGTGGGATTTTTTTTTTATAGATTGATTTGGGTTTTTTCTTAACAAAGATCTAATGGTTTAAAATAGTGGGTCCACCAGATTGAATGAAAATCGATGGCCAGATGTTTTGCTTTTTTCTTATAATTTCTAGGATTTATTAAAGCGTCACGTGGCAATCTAGGAGCGTTTATAGGAGCGCCACATGGCGGTTTAGGAGCGTTTGTAGGAAGTTTAATGGACTTTTAGTATATAAAGATAGATAGATTTGGAAATGTCAATTTTTATGCCTAAAAGTTGTGTCCTAGACAATAATTAACTTAGGTTAGCTGTAAGTATTCTGAAACATGTACCATATATAATATAAGTATTCATAGGAAGGATTTTTTTTACCATAATATAAATCAATTGAATATACAACTTATCACGTCGATCTGGTGGATGCAGGCCGTTGTGCACGTGAGCAACCAGAGGCGATGCTAGATTGCTGGCCACGGCGATCCGGCGCCAGAAGTGGAATTAGCCGATGAAGCAGCTTGCAAGCATAATGCTTGTTAGCTATATAATTAATCTTATAAGTATTTTGCCATATGCATGTCTATTGCGTTGATTTGCATGTATTGAACAAGTGTATGAGCTTTGCCTATGTTGCTAGCTCGTAGAGATCAATCGATCTGTGTGTATGCATCACGAGATTATGTACTGGAGAGCAGAGAGCTAGTAATATCCGGCAGTCGTGTGAGTTGTGCCGTTGCCGTTGGCGGCAAGAGCAAGCTGGCGGATCTGCTCATTTTCCATTACTGTATCCATTTTCCTTCTCAATAAATAATATTATCTCGTGATCGATTATCCTACCAGCACCTGCTTGTCCATTGTAATTATTCCTGGGATTTAAATTATTAATCATTTTAGCTTTGTCCTAGTTAAGTCAAACATTCCTAACTTAGTTATATAGTTTAACATCACGAGACTTATATTTTTAGATTCATCGTGGAGAAGTAATTGACGTGTTGTTAAACTATTTTAATTTATATAAATTAATGGTTAAACCTAAAAATGTTTGACTTAGAGAAAACTCATTGGTTGCTATAGTCCTTGGTATATTTATCAGTTTGTTGTATTTGCTACTTTCGTTTCTTCGAAATCAAAAGAACTTGCAAAATTGTACGTCTTGCGAAATCTGACTATTCTAATCAATCTACTCCTTCACAATTAGGCCCAGTAACCGTAGGAGTCTGCTTAGGCTCGTTGGTGAAAGCAAAATATATGAAAATAATTCCATGTTATTTCAGGGATTGGAAATAAATTAATTATGAACACTCAATATATCCATTCTCTAATTATTTTCTGTATTTGTTCACAATGCTTTTCATGATAATTTGATGATTGATCAGTGCCATATGATATATCACTGCTAGAGAAAGGCTCTTTAATCCCGGTTTGCAACCCCTTTAGTCTTGGGTTGCAAATCGGGACTACTAATACGGGACTAAAGATGGCCCCGGTTAAAATAATTGGGATTAAAAATCATCTTTAGTCCCAGGACTAAAGAAGAAGAAGACAACTTTAGTCTCGGTTGAGCTACCATCTTTAGTCCCGGCTGGTGTTATCCGGGACTAAAGTTTTTTTTTATTTTCATTATTTTTTACTGCTTGCATCTATTGATTCGAGCACCGTAAATCATTCATAAAATCATTCATAAAATCATCCAAAAATCATTCACAAAATCCCCAAATACATCAAGCTACCTTTGCTTCACATCCCATTCTATTCTAACCCTTACTATCATCATCGCATCACAAGCGCATAAACAAAAAGACAACAAAAAGAAAGAAAGAACGCCCTGGCGCGAACAAAAGACATAAACAAAAACATCACAACCCTAACCCTACTTTGCCGCTCATCAAAGTGCGTCGCCTCCCATCCCACCGTTGCGGCTGCTTCAGACGCGCAGGCCGCGGCCGCTTCCGCCACGCAGGATGCGGCCGCCCGCCGACCGCTGCAGCGCAGCCCGCCGCCGCCGCCCTCCCCAGCTTGCTCCCTGCTAAAGATGAGGAGGAGGAGGAAAGTGAGAGGATAAGATAAGGATAAGAGAGAGGAGAGAAGGAAAAGTTAAAATGAGGAGTTGTTTGCGGTTGGATCGGAGTTTGGAGGATAAGTGCGAGGGATTATATTTAACGTGTCGATTTTTATTCCTGGTTGGTAACACCAACCGAAATCCTCGAGCCCCCGGCAGCTGCCTGACAGTGAATGAACCGAGACTAAAGATGATCTTTAGTCGTGGTTGGTAACGCCAACCAGGACTAAGGATCATCTAGTCCTATTGGCGTTTTAAACCGGGATAAAAAAAGGATGTTTAGTCCCGGTTCCTAATCGAACTGGGACTAATGTGGTTTTTGGCAACCTATCAAAGATGGTTTCTCTATTAGTGTATATAAACCTTGATTCACATCATCTACTCTATTGAGATCTGGCTAGACCATGTAAAGAGATTGGAATCAGGGCTTCTCTCGTCTTCAGGATGCTATTTTATGTTTTTTTAGGCTAAATATGTATTTAAAACTTATTGACAGTCAAAAATTTTAAATGTATGATCAAGAACAACTTCAAACAACGAATATTTATGACTAAAGAGAGTATTAATTACTTTCTCATCGATAAAATACATGCCCTTATTTTAGGAGGAATTAATTAGTTCAAGTACCAAAAGCTAGTATGCAACAACTATTTGGTTCATGAAGCAATATATGTTGTGTTTACATGGAGTGTGGATTCTAATCCCTCGAGGGGATATCCCCTCGTATACCTTTTTCTTCCAAATTCGATGTAAATAGTTGTGAAAAATTATGAAAAAAATTGACAATGTAGAGTATAATGATACCTACTAGTCCACCAAAATTCATGTTCAAATTCGATCTACACATCGAGAAAAAAAAAGACAAATTTAGATATAAATAGTACGCTATTATTCATACGCTGAATTTGTCTTTTTTATATCTCGACGTGTGAGTTGAGTTTGGACTTAAGATTTTGTGGAGTTGTATATATGTGTTGTATGAATGTTGTCAAATTTTTCCAGAATTTTTCATAACCGTTTAGATGGTTTTTGAGCAAACGAGAGAACATCCTCTCGAGGGATTAGAATAGTTTCCCGTTTACATGGGAAGAGTAGTTTGTAGAAGGGGTAGGCTAGCTTGTCCAAAGCTGAACATGAGCTTTCGTGACGGCCAAAAACTGTCAAGTTTTTTTTGTAGTGATTGGCCCAAACGAGGAAAAAAGATTAACGGAGTCAAGCTTCTCTTTGGCCAGAGCATGAGCACATATGTGGATGACGTACCTATGGATGACGTAACAATGGATGGAATATACTGATGGGTGTGATCAATTGTCTCAGGCTGTTGGTCTTGCTCTTGCATATATAGTACAATCGAATTGAATGAAAGAGGACAATCGATTTATATTGTTTCATCAGAAGGCCGCTAGCTAATCCTCCTAAAACTATTAACTAGTCCACATGTGCAATCAAGATCACTGTCCGTTCTCACCACACATTTCATCCGTTTTCACACCTAATCACCCGTCCTCACGTACAAACAATTAATTCTTGTACCGCGTTCGCGCGTGATGAGTAAACAAGACTAGCAATAGCAAGTAAGACTTTCTAGTATTGCCCATATTTATTTAGATATTAATGAATCTAGATATATGTATGTATTTAAATTCATTAACATCTATATATTTATAGGCAATACTAGAAATTCTTACATTGTGAAACGGAGGGAGTATACTACCGTGTTCGATCGACATCTGAGATACCATCAACAGAGTTAAGGAAATACAAGCTTTTATATTATTAGTATACTCTCTAATACAGTTATTTCTAACGTTTAAATTTTGTATTAGGCCCTGTATAACAGTTCCCACATAAAAATTTTACACCCTGTCACATCGAACATTTAAACACATGCATGAAGTATTAAATATAAGTTTAAAAATAACTAATTGCACATATCGCAACTAATTTGTGAGATGCATCTTTTAGGCCTAATTGCTCCATGATTTGATGATGTAGTGCTACAGTAAACATTTGCTAATGACGGATTAATTAGGCTTAATAATTAAATTCGTCTCGCGGTTTACTGACAGATTCTGTAATTAGTTTTTTTATTACTGTCCGAATACCCCATGCGACATCCTATATAATACCCGATGTGACACGTCAAAACTTTACACCCTTGGATAAACACCCCCTTGGTTAAGCTGGAGTATAATCAACATTGTACTAAATCAACTTTATAAGGATAGGAAACAAACTGTTAGCTTTATCATCCCAGTATCAAGGAATGTTTATGTCATGAAATGTACTAAGCAATGGATCTACATGATCATGAGATCACACGCATGAGAATTGAGAATACTGCACGCCTATGGATGACGTATCCATGGATGACGAAATAATGGATGACGTATACTCCCTCTGTCCCAGAAACTAACTTCACGCCAGTTGTCTAGAGTCTCTGCTCTCTTTTTCTTGCATACTACCATCAAATTGAATGGACAAGGACAATCAATCAATTGTCTGATGAGTTTATCTCAATCTCATCAAGAAGACCGCTAGTTAGGCCCTGTTTATACCGTGTTTAGATCCAAAGTTTTTCTTCAAACTTTTAACTTTTCTATCACATCGAAACTTTCCTACATATATAAACTTCAAGCTTTTCCGTCACATAGTTCCAATTTCAACCAAACTTTCAATTTTGGTTCCCAAAACAAAATTTTCATGCTGTTCTCATAAGGGGAAGTGCTACGAGCCCCTACATGTTGCCCCTAAATTTGCCACATAGGATTAGGTGATGAGGTGGAGGAGAGAAGTTAGGAGAGAGAGAATGAGCCACCCCTCATGCAAGGGGCAACCTCACAATCTCTAAGAAAAGTGGAAGATGATGTGAAAGTAAACTAATATTGGGATTTGGGTATTGGATGTGATATGTTGTACTACATGTTACCTCTTAATTAATAAGAAGATGATATGGCTTAAATTAGAGGTGGCATTCACATCCAACGTAAAACTTGCACTAAGGCCCTGTTTAGATGGGACTAAAACTTTTAAGTCCCTATCATATCGGATGTTTGAAAATTAATTATAAATATTAAACGTAGACTATTAATAAAACCCATCCATAATCTTGGACTAATTTGCGAGACGAATCTAATGAGCCTAATTAATCCATGATTAGCCTATGTGATGCTACAGTAAACATTCTCTAATTATAGATTAATTAGGCTTAAAAAATTTGTCTCGTGAATTAGCTTTTATTTATGTAATTAGTTTTGTAAGTAGTCTATATTTAATACTCTAAATTAGTGTCTAAAGACAGGGACTAAAGTTAAGTCCCTGGATGTAAACACCACCTAAGACTTTTCACTCCCGTACAACGTTGGATATATATATATGCAATCAACATCACCGTCCATTCTCGTCAGACAATTAATTCTTGTACTGTATTTCTGTGATGTGTAAGCAAGACTACAATAGCAAGTCTTCTCAGTCAATTTATCCCAAATAATAGGGGTGCCGATATGTGCGAAACCATCAACACCGCTAAGGGATTATGCTTTTCTAAAGTTTTTCTTTAAGCGTTCAAATTTTATGTCAAAATGTATAGCTACTTCTATAGTATTGAGGAGTGTTTGTACGATGAAATGACTAAAATACCTCTACTTTCTATAACCCCAGTCACCTCCTACTATAGGAAATAATTATATTTTAGAACGAAGAGAGTATGTAGCTACATTTTAAGGCTGAGGAAGCGTTTTTAACATTCCCACTCGAGAAACTCATGTTAGCTAAACATTAGAAAACCCCATGCTTTATGGTCAAAGTTGCATAAAACCCAAAATATCATCACCAGTGTCACATTACTCTAGGTTTTATGGTTCTAAAGTTTTACAATACCCCACCCTATATGTGTTGACCACGGATTTACTTAAAATTTTGAGTGTATATGAAATGCTTAACTATTGAGTTCATGACTAAGATTGATGGTTTAACTCACTACTTTGAAAAATACTGTTTTTGGATATGCTGAAATTAATGGAAATTTGAGAAAAGGTAGGACTTTATAAATCATTTAGATCATAAAACATGTAGTTTTTTAAACATTTACTCATTATATAAATTAATGCAATCCCTGTCTCTAATTAGACCATATCACCAATCATCGAATAGGTAAGTATTTTACGTATACTCACTCTTGTCACAAAATAAATTAATGGTGTTTTAAAATATAAGCAGCCAACACATTTAAGCTTTGTCCAATATTATCTCTTTGAATATTTTCAATTTGATATTATTTGAAAATGGTATGGCTAGAATTGTTTTCAGATTTGAATATTTACAAAATATTACAAGTTTCCCACTTGTTTCAAGATTTTATATTAATAATTAATAATCGAACTGGTGTCTTGGTGACAATTTCGTTGTAATACTATAAACACACCCCGTCCGAAAAAAAACAGCAATCGAGGGACTAGGTTCCAGCAAATGTGCTAAGTAGATGCTAGATCCAGGATTGCTACAATTTTATGTACTTCCTTTGTAGTATAATAAATAAATAAATTCCTATAGTATAAAGTTTGTCCTAAAATAAATCAACTCATAACTTTTTTGTTACCTTTCCTGGTTCAACTAATTATAAGAAATTTTCTCCCTTCAATGCAATGCTCCTTTCATAGCCACCAACTAATTCTACACCTTTAATGGCGGTCTTGGGATACAGGGGATAGTAGGAACTCATTTATTTTGGGGACAGAGGGGAGCAGGTTATGTTTGAAGTCGTTTCTAGAACATTAAATTGTCATTAATGAGAAACTAAATGAGAACATGTAGGGCGCTGTTGCAAGAGATCAAAACACAGCTTATTTAAATATATTTTTTTAGATAATGGATTTTCATATGTTTTTATTAGCTTCGATCCTAAGTGTTGATCTACTACTTGACCTAGTTAATTAAGTTGACTTAATTAGTTATGAACCACCTGGGGTAGCTTACTGCTATCAAAGGATCAAGCTAGGGCGGGCTATTTGTGCCTATATATTGGCACTCAACCTTGCTTTTGGAGATTCATTATTTGAAAGAACATCAACCGAACGCAAGAATCACACACAACACTCGGTTAACCATATTGCAGTAGAGATCGATGGGTAGACTCCAAAATTTGATGCTTCTATCGGCGGGGTTCTTCTCCACGCTATTGCTCGCACAGGTTTTAACTCCTTTGTTTTAACTTTTACAGTATATCTTTAATTTTTTTTCCCATATGGGTATCGACAGGATGGTGCACATAAACATCAACATTATTTATATTTGTTATCTTGTGACCGATCAATATATCTACTTATTGAAAAGTATACTTGTATACAATAACGACGACTCTACTTTGGCATTAATTAATATCTTTAGTTACTTGCCAATATGTAACAACAAATTAATATGTTTTTTTCTCAACAACACTGAGAACTAACACTCCTAGATTAATGTTTAGTTCTTTTACAGTTGGTTTGTACCAAAATTGAAGTCGTCTTTCGAAAATTGGGTATAACACTGATAGACAAGGAAAAAAAAACAGTGAAAAACTTATCTCAAATCATTGCTGTCACATACACATTCATGTATCATGTATGCAGGTGACGAGTGCTGCTGCAGGGATGACAGTGAAAGTGAGCACAACGCCCATCTTCTCCAAGATCCCACGAGCTCAGACGAACAAGGATTTTCAGGTGCTACTACGCATCGAGGCGCCGCCTCCGGTGGATCTCAAGGGTCGTGTCCCCATCGACCTTGTCGCTGTGCTCGACGTTGGTGGTGGTGGAATGAGCTTGGAACCGGTTAAGAAAGCCATGAAGTTCGCCATTCGACAGCTCAGTGATGAAGACTCTATCGCCATCTTTGGGCCACCCATGAGCCGAGAGGTCATCCCTAAGTTTATGAATATTCATGGTAGCCGAAGGATTGCTGAGAAGAAGGTAGATGAGCTGGAGGGCCGTCGCTTTGCCCATCCAGCAAGGTCTAGCTTGGATGAGGCCCTCAAGGTATGTGCTTTTCTTTGGTTTGTGTATTTCTACATCGAGTTCCTGATATATTTTTAGTCCTTGGTCTACTTGCATACTATAATTAAGAAGACCACGACTATGATATTTGATCAGCTTTGTTATTTATTAGTTGTATAATATTGTCTTATTTGTCAATGAATAACCTAAAAGTGCACAAGTAATCAATATAGGAATGTGGAAAGTATTTTTACCACTGAAATGGATATCCTCCTATATATATATATATATCTCATCCATTTGCATATTATCTGAACGGTCATGAAAATTTAATAGGCAATCTGACAATATAAATCATAGTGTGATATATCATTTTACAATCATGCAACTTTAAATTTAATCTATATGAGTTAAAATTTTATCGACATATCGATATTATCAATTTTGTTAAGATAGTTCGATAACTACTTGGTTGGCATTTCGGAGATAGGAAAAAACAAAGGGAGATATCCCCTTAATGAGTGAAAAACTATCTCCATAAAAACGTAACTTCAGCATAAATAATTAAATGCAACTCTACTTTTCTTTTAAATTTCTTGAATTACTCAAGATGTATTTTCTTGCTTATGTAGATAAATATTATTTTCTTTTCAACTGCAAGGATCAATACCAAAGTGCTTTAAAAAAAACAAAAAAATAATTCATATTGTTCGATATGGATGCAGATGCTGGAGGAGCAGCCGGCGAGCTCTTCCGTCGGCCGCGCCAAGTTCATCGTGTTGGTCACCGACATCACCCGATTCAGCTCTGACATGCCGGAGTTGTCCAAGTACCCCGTGCACGCCTTCGGCCTGGGCGCCTCGCACGACGCGGCGGCGCTGCGCCTCGTCGCCCAGCGGTCTCAGGGCACCTACTCCTTCCTCGACGACGCCAACGCCGACAAGGTCGCCGCCGCGCTCGCCCTGTGCCTCGGCGGGCTCAAGTCCGTCGCCGCCGTCGGCGCGCGCGTCGTCCTCAAGGCGGCGAGCGGCAGCGGCGTGAGGATCGACAGGATCAGCTCCGGTGGGTACGCGAGCTCCGTCTCCCAGGTCGACGGGGCCTCCGGCGAGATCGCCATCGGCGCGCTCTACGCCGGCGAGGTGAAGACCTTCGTCGTCCACCTCGACGTGCCCGCCGCGCCTGAGATTTCGCCGGGGGAGGGCGTCTGCTGCGACCAGCAGCAGCTGCTCGTCGCCAGCCTCGACGGCCAGCTCTACACCAGTGGCGGCGGCGTCGACGTCATCGACGACGACGCAGCAGCTGGTGGTGGTGGTCCGATCCAAGACGTGCTCGTCGTGGAGAGGCCACCCGCCGCCGTGCTGCCCAAGGTCCCCTCCGCCATTGTCGTCAACCACATCTTCCAGTTCAGGGTGCTGGAGATGGTCGACGCCTTCATCAACGACGAGATCCTCCTGCGCCGCACTCCGGCGACGACCGGGAGGACGAAGGACGTCGACGTCGACGACGACCGGGGGATGAAGCTGCTGGCGAGGTGGGAGAGGTTCGTGCTCGAGCACCAGTTCTGGGTCGGCCTCGACCTGGGCTCCCTCGACGGCGAGATCACCGCGGTGGCGAACAGCCTGCGGAAGCAGCAGCACGTCGTCGGCGGCGTCTTGCCGTCGTCGTCGATGGCGGCGTACATATTCTCGTGGATGTCCAGCTACAAGATGCAGCGGCCGACGGCGATGGGGTCGCCGGCGAAGGTGGTGGGCTTGTTCGTGACGCTGGAGGTTCACCTCACGCTGCAGGTGGCGATCACGGCGGAGAACGGCGGCGGCGGCGGCGACGGCGAGTGCGAGTACAGCTGCGTGGAGCAGCTGCCGCCTGCGCCGCCGCTGCTGGTGGCGTCTGGACGCGATGACGACAGCTACCGTTTCAACGCCGCGTACGAGGGCGTCATATCGCTCGACGACATCAACCAATTCATGATCAAAATCTACCAGGTTAACACACGATTTCCTCAAGTGAATTTTCAGTGCTTAATTATTACGAGTACAATAAAAAATACTCCCTTCATCCCAAAATATTTGACGCCGTTGACTTTTTAAAAAATGTTTGACCGTTCGTCTTATTCAAAAAATTTAAGTAATTATTAATTCTTTTTCTATCATTTGATTTATTGTTAAATATACTTTTATGTATATATATAGTTTTACATATTTCACAAAATTTTTTAAATAAGACGAACGGTCAAACATATTTAAAAAAGTCAATGGTGTCAAATATTTAGGGAAGGAGGGAGTATCTAATAATGATGCATGGTGCAGGGTATGGTGAAAGCGAACAATTTGAAGCAATGCCATCTGATGAATCAGCAGCCGCGTGCTGTCGCCTGAATCTGATTAATCTCTCTACGTTGTTGAGTAATAATATGCCCATCCATCGATTGATCGATCCCTGAATAATGCGTGGTAGCTGCAGTTGCCTTATCAGCAGGAGAGATTGATGAGGACGTTTGTTCAGATTCGTATCTACAAGTCTAGTCTAGTACTTATTTTGAACAGAGATAGTATTAGCTATTTGCTAGCTAATACTACTATTAAGGTTAAAGGTTGAGAATAATAAGAGATGTAAGTAGGGGTGAAAACGGTTACAAAAATTACCGATCGACCGGGCGCCGTTTCCGTTTAAGGGGTACCATTTCCGACCGTATCGTTTTTGGCTATTTTTAAATTTTGTTTTTTCTAATTTCTTTTTACATCGTATTAATGTCGATACTAAGTAGTTTAAATGATAAATATGGTCAATTACCGGCCGATCGAGCATCGTTTCCGAAGAGATGCCACCGATTCCGACCGTCTCCGATCGTTTTCACCCCTAGATGTAAGTGGCAACTTTATTGGTCGTCAATGCATGTAAGATCGAATTTATAGCAAGCTAATTAAGCTCTGCTTATTGCCTCTTTGATGTTGTTGCATTGTCCGACACACTCTTGTTCGTGGGCCTGGCCCAGAATGGTCCTAATGACAGGTCAGGCCCGTAATTTCGAAAGCGTCAGGATTTGCCTCGGGCCCATTGCGATCGGACCATGGCCATTTTGTTTCATGATGGGCCAGGCAATGGTAACGACCCAATCTGAAAGGCTGGTCCAGTGATAATGGGCTATCTAATATACATCTAAAATAGTATTAATTTGAATTATTTTTTTTGAGAATAATTAAAAATCGGGCATTTTATTCATTAAGAACCAAGTTTAATTACATTCCTACTCAGATTACAAGGAGGATTTGAAAACCAAGCATAACGCCCCTCCCTCTATGGTACAAGCAAACTTAGCTAGCTTGTGACTTGTGAGCATCAAAGTTACAAGCCCGATTTTCATAAAGAAATTCTACTTTTGTAAAATGTTGCCTTCTTGCCTCGATACCCGAGTGATTCTATTGTATCTGAGTCAGAAAGCACTTTCTAAACCAAAGTACTGGCCACCACAAATTCGTCAGATGCAGCACAACTGCACAACACATAGCTCCGAAGGCTCCCTTGTTCATTTTTTTTTTAGATAATGAAAGGCTCCTTGTTCATGATCTTGATATTGCTGTGTCCACATTTATCTTTAAGCAATCTTCTGGAAGTGACATCCAAACTGCTATTTTAGGACAAAATGTTCAAAAAATAATCAGCCAAACTGCTATCTGATCCTTTCATCTTTGGGGCCGATGGCCAAGATTAGCCCATAATCACCACACTTTGCAAGTTAGAGAATCCAAATCAATATATTTGGCCCAAGGAAAGTTTTTTTTTTCTTTTGTAGAGAGTACGTACCATAGTGTGGTCCGGTGGGCGGGCCTTCTTGCTGCAAGATGGATTGAGGATGTTATTCACATGCTTGTGTACATAAACTATGCGTGAGATGCCCCTAATAAGATGGATAAGACCAGATTAGTTTATTTAGCTGACCCATTCACTCGGATATTCTTTGTATATATGTACTTGTACATATATTAGTAGAGCACTGCATTTTTTCTTAGATTGAATTCCGGACGTGGAGAAAACTGGAACTTGCTACCTGCATGTGGCTGCATGTGCGCCAATTGGGAAAAAGATGCGATCTTAATATTTTTTTTCGCGTCATATTGATCACGTAACAAGGATACACGTCATGCCTCTTGCTTATGTAGCATGCATAATGCAATGAACTAGGAGCATGAATGCATGGGAGTAGCAAAGTTTGTTGCGACATTTTTTTTTAAAAAAAAATGCATAAATGCGTTGTGATTATGTACTAGTTAGTTTTGATTTTATCTTTCCTTCAAATAATGTTTGTTCGCTGTTGTCCTCTGTTTACTCCGCTAATGATATAATGTCAGTGCAGCTTTCCAAAAAAAAAAAAAATCTATCACTGTTCACTGCAACGCGTGCACCAACCATCCAAACAGTTAACTGATGTAAACAAGAAATAATGCATTGATATATTCTGTACATGGTCTCCACTGGATCGATGTGGTAGATCCGAGATCCAATATTGTTGACCTTGTGAAATGTCATGTATGTCTGGCACTGACATACATATGGAACACTTCTCTTTAGCAAGAAACTAATTTAAACCTTTAAGGTACTTATGTCGTTTTTTATATGATTTAAATAGTTATAATTTTCTTTGAAAAATAATCTACATAGATGATAATGTCATGTATACCTTCGTAAATATGCAAGATAAAATTCGATTACAAGAAGTAAAAAAGTAAACCAAACTATGAAAAGTGCGTACATATGCATTCTAGTTGGATTTATTGCTTTTGTTTCCCATGTAGGTCGAACTTGTATCTATGGAGGAATATGTACCACAATATATAGTTTTGTTTTCTTTTTTAAATTTTTCATAAATATTTAACCTATATGCAGAATAAATTATATGTACAGTTGTTATATGACGTCAAAGTATGTGGACTAACTATTTCCCTACCTTCTTATATGTATAGACCGAATGGTAAAGTTGACTTGGTTTAACCACTTGGAAGCAAGGTCTTTATCAATTGAATTACCCTTTAATATATTATCAAAGTGCTCAAGGTGTGGAGAGGCTATTGTAGCTGGCCTATATATTAGCTATAACATTTCCGTCAATTGAACACAAGAATCACAAATAACACTCAATTACATTACAGATATGGAGCTGGTTTTTTACACCTCGAGGGGATGTCTTCGATCCGAGGCAGGGCGGCTTTAGTTGTAGCCTCTGTTGGTGTGCCTATTCTCCACGCTACTGCTCCAAGAGGTCTGATTATCACCTACCCTATTTTGTTTTTGTTTCTTAACTTAATTTGCAGTATGGTAGTATTATATTCCTCCAATTTTCTTAAAAACCATATCTTGGTCAAGCAGTACATGAATTTAAGGAAGTCATTTAACCATATATGCAAAGAGGGATGACCTAACCATATATGCAAAGAGGGATGACCTCGGCCTTCGGGAATAAAAGAGGATACATTCATTGTAGGTGTTAACAGAAAGAAAGATGGGAAAATAAATGTGGTACAAAAGATGGAGAAAATGTCATTATATTTGTATATATTGGACAAGGAAATAGAAAAAAAATTGATCATTAGCCAATAGCCATGGATATATTTTGAAATGGGCCAGAGTACCATACCGTACATTTTGGAAAGGAATTAGTTGAAAATAATCGTTCGCCTAAATAGTTTGATAAGAAAAATTCCAAAAACATCCAAACATTATCGCCAAGAAAAAAAATCAGCTGACAATTTCGCACACATTCATGATACGCAGACCACGAGTCGATCTCTGTCCCGTTGAAACTGACAACTAATAACATAATTTTAGAGAACTTTTACGGTACAATATACTAACAGTATATACTGACTCAGTATATACTGACAGTATATAAAAGGGTATATTAGGAATTTAATAGAAAATAAAACAACACTTTAGTAATTTTTGGTTCAAATTGAATCTAATTGAGAGTACCCGGTTATGTATCTTATCGTGCACTAGGGGAGGAGCATCCTGAGCGTCATTTGATGACAAAGCACGTGACGATAGCACGATTTGATGATAGAATAACGAAGAAAAGACAAAATTACCCTTTCAAACTTTATACTGCAATCTAATTAAATAAAAAATTAAATCAATCTACATCGTTAGATCATATATACTTGCAGAATATACTAGCAGTATATTGTACCGTAAAAATCCTCTAATTTTAACCACCAACAATAATCGTCTCTATGCAGGCCATGAGTGCAGATCCAGTGAAAGTGAGCACCACAACCATGTTCCCCACAATCCCACGAGACCACACGAACAAGGACTTTCGGGTGTTACTGCGCGTCGAGGCACCACCAATGGCAGATCTCAAGGGCCATGTCCCCATAGACGTCGTCGAGGTGCTCGATGTCAGCGGCAGCATGGGTGATCCGGCAATGGCTTCCTCCGACTTCAAGAAGAACAAGCCCCCGTCGAGGCTGGATGTGCTGAAGGACGCCATGAAGTTCATCATCAGGAAACTTGAAGACGGAGATCGTCTCTCCATCGTGGCGTTTAACGATCGACCTGTCAAAGAATATAGCACTGGTTTATTGGACATCTCCGGTAATGGTCGGAGAATTGCTGAAAAGAAAGTTGACTGGCTCGAGGGCCGCGGAGGCACTGCACTTATGCCAGCCCTGGAGGAGGCCATCAGGGTATGCATATACTCCCTCCCTTCGTCCTAAATTATGGTGTGTCCTTTTTTTAAGGAACATCAAACTCGATAACTTTAATCATACTAAACCGTATATATGCTACTACGTATTATATATCTTATATCACTAGATTTATATATTAAAATATTTTCATGTGACGTTAATTTTATATTTGTTAGGAACATAAAATAGGATAAATTAATGGTCAAAGTACATTGTTAAAAAACGTGTAAAAAATATATGTCTTATAATTTGAGACGAAGGAAGTATACTACCTCCATTCGTTTTTCTTTGGATAATTTTACCATCATCGAAAATATACCGGCCAGACGGCCAGTAGGTTTTATTGTAAAACTTGGCACCTTCGGTCTCTATATATCACGGGAACCGTAAAATTTATCTTCTTCTTTACTCGACGTTTTGAACATTGTCACAGTGATAAATCTCTTGATTTAATTGAAGGATTAAACTAACAATCTGATCAATCTAATCATTCACAGGTATTGGATTGTCGGCCCGGTGACAGCCGGAACCGCGTAGGGTTCATTCTCCTCCTGACGGACGGCGACGACACGAGCGGGTTCAGGTGGAGCCGTGACGTCATCAATGGCGCCGTCGGCAAGTACCCCGTGCACACCTTCGGCTTGGGCGCGGCGCACAGCTCGGAGGCGCTGCTCTACATCGCGCAAGAATCGCGCGGCACCTACTCCTTCGTCGACGATGAGAACATGGACAAGATCGCCGGCGCCCTCGCCGTGTGCCTCGGCGGGCTCAAGACCGTCGCCGCTGTCGACACGCGCGTCAGTGTCAGGGTCGCCGAGCTAAGCGGCGCGCGGATAGAGCGCATCGACTCCGGCGGCTACGAGAGCCGCGTCGCGTGCGGCGGGGCGTCCGGTGAGGTCGTCGTCGGCGTCCTCTACGCCGGCGAGGTGAAGAGCTTCATCATCCATCTGCACCTGCCTGCTGCGTCGGTGTCATCTTTGGAGTGCGGCTACTGCGACGCCGCAACCGTCTGTGACCACCACGGCCACCATTGTCATCGTCGTCACGAGCAGCGGCTGCTCGACGTCGGCTACTCCTACCGCCGCGCCCCGGATGCCGCAGCGATATCCATCGTTGGGCGTGGTGTGTTCGTCCAAAGGCCGGAGGAGGTGTGAAAGGAAACTCAATCTAGAGGTAACGTCGTCGGTGCGACGGTTCGTGTTAATTCAGCACATAATCGTGCGATCATTTACAGAAATATATGCGTCATGGATGGGAGGAACCGGATCTCCTATACATGCTCTAACAACCTTATCAGGTTAACAAACTACCGGCCTCCTCATCTTGTGCATACAGAGATTACGGGAGATTGCATTATCTTTAACACTCTCCCTCAATCTAAACAATCTATGTTGAGATTGCTCTTGAACACTTCGAATGGCCTGACAGTCAATGACTTTGTGAAACCATATGCTATTTGATCCTTGGATGAAATATATTCTATCTCAAGTAGCTTTCTAGAAACTCTTTCTCGAACAATGTAATAGTCAACTTCTATATGTTTAGTACGAGCATGAAACATAGGATTTACAGAAAGATACTTAGCTCCAACATTGTCACACCAGACCTTTGCAGCCTTTGGCGTTTCTATGCCAATCTCATACAGCAAAGTTTGGAGCCACATGATTTCAGCTTTTGTATCAGCCAATGCCTTGTACTCTGCTTCTGTACTTGATCTTGACACTGTTGTTTGCTTTCTTGCACTCCATGACACTAGGTTAGAGCCAAGAAAGACTGCAAATCCTCCAGTAGATCGCCTGTCATCCAAACATCCTGCCCAGTCTGCATCACAAAAACCACTAACAAGCAAAGAGGAGGATTTACTGATTCTTAGTCCACAATTCACTGTATACTTAAGATATCTTAAGATCCTCTTGACTACTGTCCAGTGAACTGTAGTTGGAGAATGTAAAAACTGGCATACCTTATTTACTGAGAATGAAATATCTGGTCTAGTAAGAGTCAGATATGGTAAGGCTCCAACTATACTCCTGTACTGTGTTGTATCTTTTTGTCCTAGCAAAGTGCCTTCATGAACTAACAATTTTTCTGATGCTAGCAAAGGAGTACTTACTGGTTTACAGTCCTGCATTCCTACACGCCGAAGAATATCAGATGCATATTTTTCCTGTGTCAGCATTATCCCATCACTTGTCTTGTTTACTTCTATGCCTAGGAAGTAATGTAACTCTTCTAGATCCTTTAAGGCAAACTCCTTGGTGAGATCCTGCAGCAATGCTGTTGTGGCACTAGAAGTAGAACTAGCTACTATGATATCATCAATATAAATGAGCACAAAGACAGTTACAGGTCCTTACTATAGAAAAAGAGAGATGTATCTGCCTTTGAGGATATAAAACCAAGTTCATGCAGTTTTGTACTTAACCTTGAGTACCAAGCTCTGGGAGCTTGTTTTAAACCATATAAAACCTTATCTAACTTGCATATATGGTTTGGAAATTTAGGATCTTCATACCCTGGAGGTTGTTTCATATATACTTCCTCTTCAAGTACTCCATGAAAAAAAGCATTCTGGACATATAGTTGACGCAGGCTCCAACCTCTGGATACAACAATAGACAAAATAGTTCGAATAGTAGTAGCTTTGACTACAGGACAGAAGGTGTCCTCATAGTCTATTCCATACCTTTGTTTGAAGCCTTTGGCAACCAATCTAGCTTTATACCTGTCCAAGCTTCCGTCAGCCTTTCTTTTCACTTTGTATACCCACTTACAGTCAATGACATTCCTCCCTGCCTGTGGAGATACTAAGTGCCTTGTTTGATTTTTAATTAGTGCGTGATATTCTGCATTCATAGCTTCTTTCTAATTTTTATTAGTAAAAGCCTCATCTAAAGACTGTGGTTCACCAGATAAAGTAAAACCTGACTACTTAACATTACCATCTGTATATACCTTCTCTTTCGAATGCCACTCCGAAGACGAGTGTGTGGCCTCACTGGTCCTGGTCCCGTCAGTCCCTCGGGCGCTGCTGCATCAATCTGATATAAAATGGTGTCAGTCTCGGTTTGATTAGTACCTGATTCATTTCGTGTCCCATCAGCAGTGCGCCCCGCACTAGCATCTGACGCATGCACATGCGGCGACGTGGCAGATCCCGGCTGACTGGAGGCAGTACTAGTGCGAGCCGGAGACGGGGCTGTTTGGTTCCCAGCCACACTTTACCATTACTTGCCAACAAAAATTGCCACACTTTGTCTAAGGTGAGATGATTAAATTGTTAGCCACAACTTACTAAACCTAAGAGAATCTTGCCACACTTTTTTAAGCCATTGACACGTGGGACCTAATTTATTGGAGGGGAATCTTGCCACAACTGTGGCTACAACCAAACACCTGTCAAATTTGCCTAATCTTAGACGTGGCAAACTGTGGCAAAGTGTGCCTTGCAACCAAACACACTGTAGCGCCCGTTCCGTCGTGGCGCCTAGCGGGAAAATTATCTCTTAAAAACCCTAATTGCGAAATTTGTTTCTTTGCTTGTTGTCTAGTGTCCGTGCCATCTCAAGATCTCAATCCCCGATCTACCGTCGAGTTCAATTCCGAGTCCAAATCCTTCCAATCAAATTCCTCCGCAAAAGTCTATTTTTCCTCCCCCGAGGTCGAAGGGCCGAATCTCGCTCGGCCCATCTCTCTCTCCCCCGGCCCTCTCTTCCGGGCGCTCTCTCTCTCTCTTTCTCTCTCTTTTTCCCCGGCGCGCTCCCCCCCCGCTCGCTGCTCGCACGTGCGAGAGCCGCGCCGAGCGCCTCTCTCTCCGTTCCCCTCCGCTCCGCCCGCGCGCCGCGTGCGCGTGCGCGGGAGTCGCCCGCGCCGAGCGCCCCCCTCCTCTCGCGCGAGCTACCCGCTCGCAAAGCCGGTCGCGTGCGCGCGCCCGCGCGCCGTGTTCGCGTGCGCGCGCCCGCGCGGACGCCGCCCGTTGTTTCCCGCGCGCGCGTGCCGAGTGGCCGACCGCCTGGTCGCCGCCGCCGTCACCCTCTGCCGCGCCAGCCCGCGCCTGTCGCCTGTGTCGTCGCGCCGCTCCAAACCATCCCACCGTCATCGCCGTCGTCATCGCCCGGCCCCCGCCACTCCGCGCGCAAGCCGCCAAGGGACGGAGGCCGAGCTCTCCTTTCCCTCTGCCGCGTCGCCCCGCTCCCTTCTCCTTTTCCCGATTCGGCAAAGGGGCGAGCCCCCTTTCTCTCCCTCCTTTTCCCCTTTCCTCCCTTTTTCCCCTCTCGCCGGCGTCACCTCCTGTCGCCGCTTTGGACGCTAGCCGGAGCGCCAGCTCGCCGGTTTGACCGCCCATGTCGGTTCCTCTCTCCCAAACCGACATTGCCGCCCATTTAAACCCGTCTTCCCCCTCCCTTCTTTCCCTCTCCCATTCGCCTCCTCACCGTTACCGCCGCCCCCGTGCTCTGTCTCGCCTCCGCCGTCCTTCGCCGAGCGCCGGGAGAGCCGGTGCGTTCAAGGACGCGGAAGGGGACTTCGGCCGCGCCCTCTTCTTCCTCTTCCCCGGCCCGAGGCCGGAGAGATCACTCCCGCGCCATCGGCCTCTCGTCACAGCGCCCCTCCTCCGCACGGTAGTGCCTCTCTCCGTTCTTCCTCCTCGCTCCATCTCCTCCCCCTAGCTTTCGGTAGTAGCTTGAGTAGCCTCCCCGTAGTTAGCCGGCGCCACCCCGACCGTTGCCGTCGCTCGCCGTGTGCTCGCCGCCGTCGCTGCCCGAGCTCCGTAGCACCCGCTCGTCGCCGGCCTCGCTCGGCGTAGTTCCGCCCAATCCGACGCTAGCGGCGCGTTCCCGAAGCCGCGTAGATGCTCTTACCGCCGGGAATCGACCTCTCGTGACCTCGTCGCCGTTTCCCTCTTCTCCCGCCACCGGTTGCCGCCGCCGCAATCCGCCGCCGTCGAGCAACCTCCGGCGAATCCGAGCCGTTGGCTCGCCTCCCCTTGTCACGTGCAACCGCCCGGTGTGCTCGCTGTTGCCCATATCACCGTGGTTCGCTCCGCCGCTCGCCGCCGCCGCCCGCCGTCCATTCGCGGCCGGGTCATCGTCTACCTCCCGCCAGCCCACGTGGCCGCCACGTAGTCGCCACGTCGGCACCAGCTCAGCCTAGACCTGCGTCCACCACGGACCGCGCGCGTGCACCGCGTCCTTCCCCCGCCCGCGCGCATGAGCCACGTACTCCCTCCGCACGGTGAGCCGAGCCGCTGACAAGCGGGTCCCACCCGGGACCGCGCGTGGTGAGCCCGATCCACCGGACTCTCTCTCCTCCCTCCCGCGCGCGCGCGCGCTTGGGCCGTCTTGGGCCGGCCGGCCCGTTAAGCTCGGCCGAGCCGCTCCAATTCCCTTGGGCCGCGCCTTAGCCGCCCAAGGAAAAGTCTAATTTCCATCCCTCTGTTCTTTCTTTTCTTTTCTTTTTCAAAAAGGATTAAATCCTTTTCCTTTAGACCAAAAATCCAATAATCTTAGAAATTCCATATCTTCCCAACCGTAATTCCGTTTGACTCCGTTCAACTTCCAAAATTCCCCAAATCTCGAGATCTATCTAATGGCACGCTTAGAGGTCATTAATAGGGCTTTATTTTCGCCGTTTGTTGAGTTGTCCCGTTTCGCGTGTAGTTTCGGAGCCCGAAGACCCGCAGTGCGAGGATTTCGAGGATCAAGCTCCAGATCTCGAGCAAGGCAAGCCACCTTTGAACATCTTGAGCCAATATTTGAAATTTAATTATATTGCCTGCAAAATATTATGCATTGATAGGATCGCACTACATATTTTGTCCCATCTGCAAGACAGATTGGCGGACTTACCTAACTTGTTGCATTTGATCCTTCCATTGTTAATTGCCATACTATGTCCCCTTGTAACCACCCAGTTGCACCTCGATATTTGTGCACTCTGTGCGAGTATCGACGGTCGCCTTCAAACTTAAAATCTGAGTAACAACTTGGGTAAAACTGGAGTTTTACAAAAGACTTGGAAAACCCGACACCTGGGTCGGTGCTTGCGAACTAATTGAATTTCCAAAACCGCGGACCGGGGAACGTACCGGGTGTACGGTTTCCCGCTCTCGCACTTAAGGACCGATTCCTTGGAATTTCATCCAAACATAAG